CCTGACAACAGGACTGGTTGTGTGTCTGTGTTTGGAATGTGAAATGCCACATATGTGAATGCAGAGCTTCGGGGATCTGTCTGCATCTGTGAGATAGGCAGGTTCCCCGGGGAGCTGGCGAGCGGTGCTGCCGTTCATGAATACCACGAGGGGTGAAATAGATTTGAATGAACTTTCAGGAGCGGGCATGCATCTGGAGTTTATGCAGGTGCCGTGTTTGCGTTTCCTCGTGGAATACGATTGCCACTTTTCCCCATGATAGCGATTCCCTTCCTGAAAAGGGGAAATGACGAGATCCTGTCAGCTGATTCCGGATCAGTGGGTCTCAGTCTGCAGGGGAACGGTCCTTCCACGTGGATCCGGCCTTAGAAAACCAATCAATTGGACGGAGTTCTCACAGTGTTCTGAACACATTCCTACAAGTGCTCCCTGTGGTCCTGCGATGTCGTTGAGTGAATCAGACACTCACTATCGTGTCCATTAGTCCATCTTCCTTCATTCACAAAGACGTCCATCGTCCTGTATGTTAGAACAGGGCCGCCGTCAAAGTTCGCTTGATTTACTCAGTTTTCTCTTTGATGGATCTCCAGACTCTGCCCTCCTCATACACCCCCAGCGCCACAGAGCCACTAAAAGAGGAACTTCAAAGGCTGGACCTTCCCCAAAGCAGGCAGATAAAGGACGCACAGATTTGAGTAGTCAAATAGCTTTGGGGTGTATAGAAGGCTGTTCATGGTAGACGCGCTGGTGAATGAAGCTGAAAGATTTACTGGAAAAAAAAAAAACATTATATGAAGATTATACGAGTAAATGTCCTTCAGTTGAGATGTTAGTAAAGTTATTTCAGCATTATCAGGAAAATGTTATTCAATTAGTAAAAGTGCTCGATGCACTGCTATATGATTAAGTATATAATCCGATCAGTTCTACTTAACAAATCACAATGCTCACAACACTTACATTTCCCCAAAAATGTTACTTACTACTAAAAATAGTAAATATGTAAAAAGTATTTACATATTTGTAATGAATTAGTTGACTAAAGTTTGGTTATTTAATTTATAACACAACGCCATAATTTTTAAGCCCTTTTGTAGGATCTGCACGCTCAAGTTAAAATAAATGAAATAGAAATAAAAATTGTCCTGATAGGAAAAAAACTTCAAGTACCCTCAAATGCGTACTCAAGACCAATATTGACTGTATAGGACTGTCCAATCCGACTACCTCAAACAGCCTCTTCGGCTATCACCTAATTACTTTACAAAGGCCGCTGAGTGGTTTATCCCTCCGTAAGGCTGGCAGTGGCATTAGTGAGCTCATTTCAAAGTGTTCCACACAGATTTTGTTCAATCAACAGACTCAAGACTGTGTTTTTAAGGGTTGCGGCCGAGGATTTGTGTCCAGGATTTTTTTTTCTTCTTTTTTTTTTGTTTTTGGAAAGACAGCTGGGTTGTCATCTACCAAAAGCCTGGTGCCTTCTCTAATCTTTAGCCACCCAGGGACACCCCTGCTGCTGCTGCACTTCACTGAGATGGTTATCGGATACCAAAGGCGAAGATTCTGTCTGTCTGTCCATAAGCTGCCGCTGGGTGTGTGTATCATGTGATTTCACGTCTCAGGGGTTGATGTCGGATGCAGCATCTTTGTAATCCACGAATGTGATGACGCCCGTGAGGGTAGGAAGATACAGAATGGGAGACTAATGTTTTATGAGTGAGTTAAAGCTGTAGTTTAGATTAAACTAATCTCAGTCCGTGGTGGTTGCAGCTGAACACAGAATTACACTTTCCAGTCAGTACGTAACTGGACTGGAAAAGGAATGAAAGGATAAACATTGGACTTGAATACATTTCGTTTACTTTTACATTATTCATTATTTTTTATTTGTATGTGCCCTTCGGCCGAGTAGACTTTCACCGTCTAAAATTATGGTTTTATGTGAGAGTCATGTGTCTGGAGACATGACGGAGGTTAGCCCTTTCTGGTCTCCTCCGACTCCTGATGGAAACATCTGGCTCTTCAGCTGCTTAATGCTGCAGGGTGATGACTCCCCGTCGATTCATCTCTATAAGCAACTCCTCACATGATGCGTTGCCATTTGATACACTGTTAATAAAACAATGTTGTTAAGTGCATCTTTGTAAATATTATATCTGAATTAATGTGACTGTATCTATGATATTGGTGATGTCTTCTTTCACACTGATAATGACAAATGAATTGACTCTTCATTAATTACAATTTCACAAATTATCAGTAAATTGTTTTTTTTAAAACACTGGATTACTCATATTTATATTACAGCAGTATTTTTTGCCTGGACTAAAACTATTTAGAGTCATACTCTGCTGCTATTATTTTAATTTACTTTTTATTGCATTTACATTCACTTATAAACCTCGCTTGACACATTCAATCATTCGCATTTGCCAATACAAAGCTTTTGGAGAAAAATGTCCACCACAACAGTAATTTAAGAGTCCAAACTCCTTTCCGCTTCAATGACTCTAATTTAGGCAACGGCTGCCGTGTGGAAAAGGAGTGTCCTCTGCCAGCAGTCTGCGGCCTCGTATTGATCGCGCTGAGATTAGTGAGGAGACGGCGGGTTGCTCTGCCAGCCTGAGGCGAGCGAGCTGTGGATTATTCCTCTTTAAGCCTTTGTTTTGTTTTATCTTATCCTCATTTCAGCGAGGAGATGAAATTGCATTGTCATTTCCGTTTCCCTCTGCATAGATAGTATCTACACCTCTGTCCCAGCACTGTGCTACGCGTGTTCAGCTGTTTTTAAGGGCTGATTGGCTGGACGATGCCGTGTGTCACCTCTCCAGCTCCTGATTATGGCCGTTTGAACTACCACAGAGATTTCAGGCCTTTCCTCCAGTTTGGCCGGCAAGGACTCACCGTCCAAACTCATTACGTTATTGGAATTTTGGCAGCGAAAGCCCTGTCGACTTTATGGCTACACAAGCGGTTAAAGTGGTGACTAAACAGTCTTGATACACGCTCTGTGGTTGTTTGTTACTCCTACACAATTAACCAATGTCTGTGGCCCTAATCGGGCTTTCTCTGTCACATTTGTCTCCCACGCTGTCTGCTCCAGGGCTCCTAAAATGTTCGCTGTCAGCTTCACTTTTTTTTTTTTTTCTTCCTTCTGGCTCGACTGTATCACACCTTGGGCAAAAATACGTGATCCTTTGACAGACGAGTACATCTGGGATTTTGTCAAACGGTTGGAGCTGCATTGCTTTTTCTTTGATACTTTCCTTAAACGTTTGTTCCGTGTCTACTTGCAGCCCAGGCTGCGATCAAACGGCCCCGTACTGCTCGCTGTGGCCCTCTGCGTGGATGGCAATTCCACTGAAATGTACTTTGAGGTGGGATCGTGCAAGAGTAATTATGTGGCATTCAAAAACAAAAAAATGGTATTCAGTAAATAACCAATAAAAGTTAAAATTAGCATATTTTAATTTTTAATTTGATATGTAGTGCTGCCAAAGAGCTAAAGAAAATGACAGAGAGATAATTGTGATTAATTATAGTCTGCATCCACCTAACAGCATGACTTATGATTTCACAGTTGGCGTCTCATTATAGGATTAACATTTCTTACTCAAATGAGTTTATATTATTCGCTTGTAACACACGGCTACATTTCCATGTAAACTATCATCGCCCCCAGAGTTGGCTGGAAATGGCGCAGTGATGTCTTGGAAGAGTGAGTCAAGCCCACCCCGCACTAGCCCTCGCAAAGCTTCAGACCAGTGCAGACTGGTTATGCGAGAGCCCACCTCATCACCGTTGGCGTCTCTCTATTCTCTGTCAGCGGCTCCCCACAGCCACGGCTCTGAATAATTCAACAAAGCAAAAGAGGACTGGCGGAGCGGGAGAGAGGCGATATGGATTGGGGATGATCTCCAGGGCCAAGGATGCACTAGGTAGCAGGAAATTGATTTTTGTTCACGTCAGAATAACCTGGAGAAAGTGTGCTTGAAAGGGAAAGTGCGTTGTGTTATGCGTGCAATGGGGCGTAGGGGTGTTGATCATTGCATGTTAGGGTAGAGAGCTGCAACCACAAGTGAACGAGAGCGTCTCTCTTCTCCCTTTCTTGAAATACACTTTATTAATTCATAAAAGCCTCTTTGAGTCCCTGACCTGCAAGATCTCTGCAGTAATGCATACGCATTCACACATCTGGGTGTTTCATCTCTGCAGAGACCTCACAAACAGTTTGCTTGAACGATATCACCCCAGGACACACACGGTGTCTTGACATTTGAGTCCACGTGATTGAGCGGGTTTGCGTGTGGGATTCAGACGTCTCCACAGTTTAATATTTCACAGCAATGACTGAGCAATGCCCTGCAGGCAATAAAGAACGTCAGTCCCGGGGGATTTTAAAGGGATGTTTTCTCCTGATAGCCTTGGTCACTGACCAAATAGGACCCTAAATAACAAAACCTAGTAAGGGGATCCCTGACGGTGCAGCTTATGCCCAACATGAGGACAAAACTCCTGGGTTTTGATGAAAACCCAGGAGTTAGTCGGAATTGGACTTATCTTAAATCCTGTTAATCAGAATTATCGGATGGTTTGGCACTAACATTCATTTCCTACTCAGGAGTAATCATGGTTAATTTCTGTATGACCACATACCTGCAAAAATTCCTTTTTAGGAAAAGAATCAACCATTTTCTTAATTAATCCCACAGTAACTCACCCATTTGGCAAAAGGGGATGTTTTCTGCTGATAGCCTTGGTCACTGACCAAATTCAGTCAAGCTGACTACCTTTGTGTTTTATTTTCGGTCAGTCACAACGTCTGGCGTCCACCGCTTATCTTCGCTTTAATTACCTCTGTAACCAGGTCTGTAATTATGAGTATTGCTTCCGTGTCACCACTGAATATGCCGCGGTGAGGGAACCGCTGTGACCGCACCGCGGCGGTGGTTGGACGCGTGTGACTGAGCTAACCCCTGTCCCTTCGTTTGTGTCTCTAGGTGCCCCTGGTTGACGAAGGTAGTGTCCCCCGCCGTGCCGCTCTACAATGGCCTGGTCTTCCTCTTCGTGTTGGCCAACTTCAGCATGGCAACCTTCATGGACCCCGGCGTTTACCCCAGAGGTTCGTACGAGTGTCCGACGAATGCTGTTTGCATCTTCAAAGAAGTCTGGGGGGGGGAGACACATTGTTGCCTGCAGTATTTATCTGACATTTAAAATATTAGCGTAACGTATTATGCATAAGTTATGTTTCCTTCCCGATGAGCTCTCGTGCATAGGGCGCAGCTTTTTAAAAGCACCGCATTCATCGACCTACTCAATCTCACCTCATTACTCTGCTACCCGCCTTGCCGCCGTCCCCGGGGGACGTTTGTAATGTGCTTGTAAATGATAAGCACTCGTCTTGTGCTTTCTCTGCTCATAAAGGGGTAATAATCATCACGTTGTTTAAAGCTCAGGTTATCTGCCTCCCCCAGAGGTGACCGTGGCCTTCTGCTGCCGCTGCCCCGCTGGGTTTAATAGACTACCGAGGAGCTTTATGAGCTCTTGGTGGGATCTCACAGGGAGTGGACCCACCAATAAAGTTTTAATAAAGAATGAAGGAAAGACGTCTGTTTTGAAAATCACTCCGTCATCCAGATTGTAAAAGTGAGAATGAAGGGTTGGTTTTCATCGAAGGTTTTTCCATTCAGGTCAACAATGAGTGGCAGCCATTTATTGTTGGGATCTGCCAAATGAGGTCACATGGTGGCTTTTTTGTTTGTTTATGTTGTCGAAATAAACAACATTCATTCGGGCACTAGTCAATATATGTTCATGTACAATAGGAAGTCAAGCCAATCGAGATAAAGCCGCACAAAATCCTGATTACGTCAACAGCAGTCGCTGTTGTACGTGTCAATCTTCTCAAAAGAGGGTACTGAGCTCTACTGTTTGTGAGCAGAAGCAGCAGCTCATTACTGTCAATGTACCTGTGAAGAGATGTGCAAATGTGAGGGTTTCTCACTAAAAGGTCAGCGATTCGATCCCTGTTAATAAGGAGCCGTGTTAAACTCAATCTTTTGCACCTTCACTCGGAGTGAGTTGACTTCTTTTGTATGAATACACAGTTAATCGGTTCACAAGAGATGATCAATGGCAATTAGCAGGCACACTCGGTATCGATGCTGCGGTGGGTGTCATTGTGATCTTGGAGATAATGTTCTCCGAATGCTTCTCGTTCAATAGTATAATTAAGAGAAACATTCCAGGATTGAGGGCATCAGTTATTTGGTTGAAGAGTGTGTATACATATAGAATGAGTAGTATAATATTAGAATATGTACGTGCTAAAAATAATTCCAGGCGAATTATTATAAACCGATTTGGGAAAAACTGATTTAGAATCTAACTGAAAGCTGCTTTTGAAATGTAAATGTACATTTAAATGAAACAGGCCACTGCTTTTTCTGTTGAAAACTTTCATCGAGCATTTCGAGCATTTGGAAAAGAAGCTGTTGTTGGGGGAGAAGCAAGCGTAACTGCTGTTTGGCAGGCGGTTCACTTCCAAGAATCTATTTGAAGAGCCTTTCGAGGCCATAATAACAGAGCCATAACTGTTTATTTCTGTACTCTACCTTTTGCGTCCCTCTTGTTTTCTCATTGCAGTCTCCTGCTCTCTGCGTGCTCACTACCTGGATATCCCTGCAGTTATCACTGTGCTGTGAAATTATTTTCTCCGGTTGGAGCTCCGCTTAGATGGTTTGAAAGTGCCCTTTGATCGGATGAAAGACACATTATTTTCCGCCGCGGCTCCACAGCGAAAAGCTCTCTCAAACAGACAAACAAACAGTTTGAGTGCAGTGAAAATGTCACTTGTCCTCTCATACTGTAGAATACAAGCCATGTTTTCATTTACATGTCAGGTCACATCAAAGCACCATCTGTGCCAGAGTTACGTGTTTCATTCTCCTATTAAAACATTCCACTCTGATGATGTCTGAACTTTTGGCGAAATTAAACTAAACATTTTCTGTTATAAATGAATTACAGTCTGCTTGTTAATCCTCTAAATGTTAAGAGCAGAAAGGATTATAAAAACCTGTTTATGTCTCTGTTTGCTGTCCCCACAGACAGCTTACAGCGGGGGGGGGGGAGAGGGGGCCAATGTTATCTTAAATCCAAACAGTGTTTGTCACATGTTTTCTCACACTCAACCAAGTGCCTGTGTGCTGTTAATGTGTGCGTGCGTGTTTGTGTTCATCGGTATGTTTCCCCCCCCCCCCCCCCCCCTTCAGCCGACGAGGACGAGGACAAGGACGATGATTTCCGGGCCCCGCTCTACAAGAATGTGGAGATCAAGGGCATCCAGGTGCGGATGAAGTGGTGCGCCACCTGTCACTTCTACAGGCCGCCTCGCTGCTCGCACTGCAGCGTCTGCGACAACTGTGTGGAGGTGCGTGTGTGCGTGCGTGCGTGAATACAAATGTGCAGAGAAACCGAGTATGCTAATTATACACGCAGGCAATGAAATCTAAATATACATCGAGGTCAGAGTGATTTATCAGCTTCCCATCAACAGTCTGATGTTTTTTTGTTGACGCTGTGCTTGTTTGATGTGACATAAGAAGCAATCCGATGGTAAAAATTACAGATTTTACTGGAGATTTCTTTCCTCCAGAATTAACATCTCATGATAGATGAATAGTTTCTAAATATCTGTGTTTTATTTAATTGTCAAAAAAAACAAAAAGGTAATTACCAGCATGAATTGCAGCTCTTGGCAGTTAATTGCGGTTGGTCTTACAAACACACACATTGGGACAAAAAACACACACCTACACACGCGATGCATAATTACTCCTTTGAAACGGCTGATGTATTTTTGTGTGTGTAAAAGCCTAGTAAACGATTTTTGTATTGGTCTTCTACTTTTTTTGCCTCAACAGACGTAAACTAGGCCCCTCCCAAATAGATGATGCAATAAGCCAAAATGAACTAATCTAAATTGAGAATCCAATTTAAGGCACAAACTCAGACAAGCTGTCATATAATTGTGTTACGTTACATTACGTTACATTACAAAATTACGTTACAAATGAATTACAGAGATTTCACAGGTGTAATTTCTCTCCCTCTCCGTCCTCAGGACTTTGACCACCACTGTCCGTGGGTGAACAACTGCATTGGGCGGCGGAACTACCGCTACTTCTTCCTCTTCCTGCTGTCGTTGAGCATCCACATGGTGGGAATTTTCTCCTTCGGCCTCATCTTCGTTCTCCACCACCGCGAGAGGCTGGCGGCGTTGCACACCACTGTCACGTATCCTTTCACCGCTGCGTGGATCGACGGGCCAAATTTGCTTGTTTAGTAGATGCAGCTTTTAGAAATAGTGTTTTCTACCAGCTTTCCTCTGCTTGCAGGACGCAACGGAGTTCTTTTTGCAGTGCATGCGGTTGTGTTTTTGTAATCCTACACTGTTGTTGTTGAGCTTGACCTTCGCGTCCAGTCTGGTGGTGATGTGCATATCAGGGCTTTTCTTTATTCCAGTCATGGGACTCACTGGTTTCCACATGGTCCTTGTTGCTCGAGGTCGAACGACCAACGAACAGGTGGGTGCAGGAGCAGCCGCCGTGCTCGTTCTCAACGTACAAATACGCACACGCACACACGCACACACACACACACACACACACACCACCTATTTAGGCTGTCATTTATCCAGTGAAAGTCAACAGAACCGTGCCGCTCTGCTTCACACAGACTCAAACATTCACACCCGCAGCTGTCTGACTTTTGGCTACCGTGCTTGCATTAGGGAACCTTTGAAATAGCTGGGGGGGATCTAACAAACAAACCCGTGTCCAGGCGGAAAATACGGTCCTCCGCCTGTGGACAGAATTCATTCCCATGCATCACATAGTAGATGCATCCGCTTTGTATTCGAGCACTGGACCTTTGTGGGTTTATACGTGTGCGGACTGTGGCCTTCATTCACCTCTAAACAAGGCGTTGTTTTCCTCAGGTGACGGGCAAGTTTCGCGGAGGAGTAAATCCCTTCACCAAGGGTTGCTGTGGCAACGTGGAGTATGTCTTGTGTAGTCCCCTCGCGCCGAGGTAAGATGCTTTATTATATTGTATGTGCATGAGTGTGTGTGTGTGTTTGTGTGTGTATACACACTGTAGGTACTTTTCAGGGTTTTCTTTCTGTCCGCATACATTTAACAAATTTTTTAAAGAAATATGCTGTCTTCTTGTACTTGAAAGGAAATGTGCGTGTGTGTATGTGGTTACGCAAAGACAAGGGTGGCCGATTAAAGCCTGTGACACCCATCCATTAGGAACCTGTGCAGAACCATGTAACTGCAAGAAATGACACGGGCGAATGAGTGCACGCACACATTGACACACACTCTGAAGGTGGTTGCCGAGGTGTGTAACCAGTTCTGCCTGAAAGCAGCAAGCAACCCAGGGGGAAGGCAGATGGCCGAGAGAATTGAATCACTCTGTTGAACAGTTAATAGAAAACAGAGCGCAGAAATACACACACACACACACAGACAAATCCTGAAGACATTTCACAAAAAGATGAAATATGATGTTCAGTTAGTTTTTTCATGTACCTAAAATGTTTAAAGACAAACCAAAGCCTCCATGCCATGAAATATTAAAACAATAACACATGACAATCAGAAAAACAGATGTTGGTTCTGAGCGAAAGCCTGTCGCTCTTTTCCTGTGCAGGTACATGTTTGATCCCAGGAAAAAGCCCCACGTCAAAATCCAGCCCCCGTTCATCAGACCTGACCTGTCAGAGAGGCAAATCACCATCAAGCTCAGCGACAACGGCATCCACAGCTCCATCATCAGCTCCAAGGTGAGTTCTTCTCCACCACACAAGTGGCCTACATTTATATACTGAGGGCTCCGCACACACGGGCACAACAGCTCACTTAAATTGAAATTAGGGAAAACAACTGGAATATTGCCAGAAACCTCACAGATTGCTGAAAAATGACTTTGCCTACTTTTGACACACTGTGTCTCTTCGGAGGAGAAAAACCTCCTATTCCCTTTTAGAGTAAGACTACAGATTCAATTCATTTGTCATGTTCACGTTTGGTCATTTTCTGCAAACTTTTGCTAAATAGAAAATCTCCAATTTAAAGGAGACAAACCAAAGTGCGTTGACACGTCTCTGAGAGAACTAGTGCGTATGTGAAAACACTTGTGGTTCCAGAGGGAGAGGGAGTCCAATTTATTGCCTGAATTAATGTCCCTGGAGATCGGTTGTGAATTAAGACCAATCTGAGGTTAGCGGTTGAGGCTAGCGGCTCGGGGGTTACATTAGTCACTAATAGCACAACACACCGGAATAACTGGATCAGCTGTTGGCCAAAACTAAAAAAACGACTTAGCCCAAGCCGAGCAGCTGCCTAGTGCACCTTTGCTACCCTAAAACCGCCTGTGAGAGTATGTTGATCCATCCCTTCTGCTGACATAAGCTCTTCTCTGTTTCATCTGCTGTCCCCCCCCCCACCTGCCCCGTTACGTTATCCCACCATGAAGTCCAAAAGCAGCCTGGACGGCTTTGAAGGGAAGGAAACCCAGCCGCCGCTGCCTCCAAAAGCTGACCGGTACAACCAGCTGAAGAAACAACTGACCTCCGGCGAAGGTAAGAAACGGGGAGAAAAAGCGTCTCACTGTCTCCTGTCAGTCACCACCAATAAAAACCATTTCTCTTTCTTGCCAGGCGGCAATTCCCCAATCTGCCTGTGTGCATCACCGGTATCCCAGCTTCTAGCTGCTAGTTTAGGGTGATAAACGTCTGTCTTAGTGGCAGGTCGATGGCCTTATTAAGGCCCTCGCAAAGGGCTGGAGAGTCTGTGTGATTTTTGTAATGTGCAGGAAGGTCCTGCTCACTGAAGCATCACCATATTTGTGTTACAATGGAGAGATTTCAGAGTTGTGCGATCACAACATGAGTCACCACCTCCTTTTATCATGGTGGCGTGCGTGGCAATGATGCCTCATGGGTGGATAAGAGGCCGGGAATTATGAACTAAAAATTGTCTCCGTGTGAATTAGGAAATTTGACATATCCCGCTGTGGTGGTGGGTCTGAAGCTGAGCGTATTAAACAGTGGAAACGTCTTCTCTGTACTGTTGCATTCAATAGTCAATGAAAAAATGATGTCAACCTGAGGATCTCCAGTGCCATGGTGCATTCTGTCAGGGAGTGAACGCTTTCTGCTCTTCAGTGGAGCTCTACCACCTCCTGTCGCTATTTCAAAGGACTGCAGCCTGTCTAAATGCATCGCCTCCATTTTTCAAAGGCAACCGAACTGGCTCCCATCGACTACCAAGCAGCTCCAATTTGTGTAGATTCTTTAGGAATGTTGATGATATGTGGTTCGATAATTCCCAACAGCTCAGGGCCTCGTCTTTTCTCTCAGAAACAGACTTTCAATCAATGCTGGTAGAATGTTGCATTTCTATCGAATACACAGTGTTAACTGGTCGCCTTTCTTTGTGTGTGTTGTAGATGGCAAGACCCACCCTTCCACTCCAGCCATGTACAAATTCAGGCCGACCTTTGGCACCATGCCTAAAGTCCACTACCACACTGCCGGAGAGAAGGTACGGCATCCTTTGTTTGGCACTTATGTAAGAAATATATTCATTGTGATTGTTTTACTAAGATTAGTAGCGTTACCATATAGCCAGGGGCAATAAGGACAAATCCTATTTCCACATTTGATGTGTCGTTCTGCTGTCGGCTGCTCAGATCGTCATGCCAGACGAGCGGAAGAGCTCGGCCATCTTGGAAGAGGGCGTGCGCGGTCACGACTACCGATCTGAGCCCAACCTTGACCTGCCCGAGTACACCAACACTCCTCTCCACCGCACCTTCCAGTCCTCTCCCCTGCAGCTGGACGCTGACCCCATCAACTCGCACTCCCTCAGCCTGAAGCCGGGCCCCCGTCGGCTGGAGAAGGGCCAGCTCTCCGCCCTGCAGCCGCAGACCGTCACCTCCACCCCGTACAAGAACGTCTTTTCGCCCAACACGCTCTCCAACCGCAATGGCAGCTTGTCTTACGACAGCTTGCTCAACCCCAGCATCTCGCCGGCCTCGGCCAGTGAGTGCATGGCCCATCGTGGCATGCCCACCGTCGGGTTCCACTCGCCCTACCTGCCCACCAAAATGTGCCACATCCGGGAACCTGACATGCAGAGGCACCAGGTCACCCCCGCCTACAGCCCAGTGATGCCGCCCAGGGGGGTGGGCCGGCAATCCCCCCACCTGAGGGACAGGGACCCATCCCCGGTGCGCTACGACAACCTCTCCCAGACCATCATGGCCTCCATCCAGGAACGAAAGGAGATGGAGGAGAGGGAGAAACGCCAGATGCTGCACGGGCGCTCCCAGACCCACATCTACGCCCAGGACTCTGGCGTGTTCGATGGGGGCTACGGCCTGCCCTCCAGCGCTTGCTACCCGGACGGGCCTCGTGGCCCTGGCTCCAGAGGCCCAACACCCCCAGCTTACGGAGGTTCCAGGGACAACCTGATGGGGGTCGGCCTGGTGAGCTACGGGCAGCGAACCCCGGTTTTGCGGCACGCCGGCTCCACGCTGGGTCGCGCCCCTCGGACTTCGTCCACCTCCCTGCACACAGATCACAGTAGCAGCAACAGCAGCCAGAGCAGGGCCACTGGCCCCGAGGGCCTCTACCGCTCCCCGGCCCACCAGCCCCACTCCCCCGCTATGCCCCGATCCCCCTCCTACTCCCACCAGAAACTCTCCTACATCAGCGCCCACGAGAGGATGGACTCCCCTCGTCTGGGGGGCCCAAGGTATGAACCCTAACGTTACACCCGGGGGACGGCATGTATTGTTTGGAGCCAAAGGAGGACTGGTGGGCATTGAATGTATTCCCACTGGAAATCCCGCTCCCTCTGTTGGACGCAGCCAGCAGCCCACGGCCACTAGAATACTCGCCCTTACTTACGAATAGCAACTGTAAAAAGTATTTGTAATGTCCATTTATTCATGTTAAGTAACAGTCTGGTGTGAATTCCCATGTTCCGTTCTTTATTTAAGTTTATGTTCGCCTTTCTAGTGAAATGTCCTTTTTTTTGTATTATTTTACAAATGAATAAAGATGTGTAACACCTCCATTTTCTTTTTCTTTTGCATGCTTTTCACCCGCCCTAACATTTGCCAGCCTTCCGCCTCACCAACAAGTACAGTCCAAACTAATCCTCCGTGTTCCCCTGCATGATGCCACGACCCCGGTCGCTCGCTGTGTGGAATAATGACCCCTGTTCTTCTCTCTTCCCTTCAGAGAGGCCATGAAACTTAACGGGCAGATGGAATGCCACCCCGGTGCCCAGGGCTCCGGCGTCAGTCCCAGTCGCCACGGTAACGTCAAAAAGGTGACTGGTGTTGGAGGCACCACATACGAGATATCGGTGTGAGGCCACCTCCGATGACAACGACACCCCCCGCCGCCCCCCTTCCTCCTCCTCCCCCACCCCGCGAAGAGACTCTCTCCTACCATTTTAGTCGAGATGACGGCGTGTTTAAGATCTCTTGTCCCACCAGAGGGTCTCTGCCCTGGTGTGTCTACCCAGACGCCTGTGTGTGTGTGTGTGTGTGTGTGTGTGCTCGTACCAGAGTGGTGGTTTGTCAGGTCAACAGTACACTGTGCAGTACGTGTGAGGCGTGTCTGGTCCTCTTAGCCGTAAGAGAGGAGCGTTAACGGTATTACTTCTGTCTCTCTGTTGCGGTTATGAAGCCTTAGTTGTTTCCCGAATGTCGCGCAAACGCGTCTCTAGCTAGCGCAGGAGGAAACGCTGACGTCCTCTCGCTGTGGACTCCTTCGCCGGAGACTAGCGTCCTTCCCGAGTCATTTGACCTCAAGGAGTCAAGGTGCTGCACGTGAACCCTTCATGCATCTCCAGCGTAGCTCTGAGGAGTGAGGCCGATCCGTTAGATCAGCAATGGCAGGACAGACAGGACCATTGAGGTGATAAGCCGGGAGAAAGGGGTTATTTATAGTGGGGGGGGGGCGGGGGGCATCGTATCATGTCTGGTGGTTGCGTTCCAAATTCATTGGGAAACACGTGTTGTTGTTTAAACACAAAAATAAAAAAATGTAATTCCTCCTTTTTCAAACTAATTTCTCAGGAATGAATGCAACCAGCAGAGATGCTAGTTGATGTAAATGAAGGGGCTTTGAATGGCTCCGTCTTTGCTGTATTCGTAGGGCTCGGGTATAGCTGAGCCCCCTGTATTCACTTCCCGAGGGGGCAGCGCATCATCAGAGGACTCTGTCGGTCTTGGTGGAGTTCCATTTTTTCAACATGGCGCCCTGAAAGGTTTGAATACCTCATCCCAAGGAGTTCAGAACGAGTCTAGCCTCGCACAACCAAAACAACCTTCTGTTTACGTTTTGTCATCAACAACGACTTTCGTGTGTAAGTTGTTAGTGTTATATCAATAGGAATAGAAAGGTGTAGAGAAACAAGCCATTGTCCCATGTAGTAAAATGAACCCATTTATTATTTTGTAGGTTTGTTTTCTTTTTAAAGCCAGCCATTTAAAATCTTTGATACATTTTTTATAGTTAATTGATCCTGGAATGGATGTTTTTTTTTGAGTGCTATATTGAGTCTTTGGTTGATAAATTTATAAATTGAGTTTATAAATTAGGTCATTATAATGGGAAGAAATCCATGAAGTAAATATAGCTTATTCTACCTTCATAGTGTAAAGAAAAAAGGGTATGGTGATAATTACCAGTTCTGTGGTTTGAGAAAGGGAAATACTATTCCGTCGTTGCCTCGGTCTTTGAATAGCCAATGGGTGCGGTAGTCGAGGTTTGGGCTTTGAAAAGTTGTCACCTTGAGATTTCAGAGCCCAAAGTGGCTCTGACACAGTAAATGGGGAACATTGCTACTATGTCAGTGACGTCACAAGGACTGAAGATGTCCAACCAAGCAAGTCGCAGCAGCTGTCTGGTACAGCTTCAGTAATACCCGATACCCACAGATGGAAAACTTTTTTTTTTGTGTTTGTTTTGCTGTTAAACAAAAAATAAAAATGTGTTACTTTTGACCATAAAAATGAACTGATAATATCCAAGGAGATGGTTTTATTTATATCTGGCACCAACTGAGTGAAGTAATGAAAGCATGCAGAACTGTACGTGCATATAAATTGGTAGATGTGTTCCAGCTGCATTGGCACGAAGAATGAACCATTGTTGCCTTTTAAGAAAAGCTACATTTCACACGAGGACGGACGTATGGCTCGATGAAACCCGGCTGTACGCTAAGGGACAATGTGGTAACATTAGTCCTTTGTATGGAGCAGAAAATGACAGACTGGGTAAGAAAGGCCAACTTACAAGGTGATAGATGATCTCGCTTTATTATGAATTGACATTACTTTTTACAGGATCTTTATTCTTCCCATTTCTGCTGCATTCATAAATTCCTTTCTCCTGAGTGAGCGGTAGATTCTGTCCCTGTCAAGGTCGGCGGTTATCAAAAGTCACTAGTTTCTACCGTCTCTCCAAGGTCTCACTCAGCTGCCTTACCATGAACACAGTAATGTGAAGTAACAGGATACTTTATTAAAGTCGTGCATTTTGGAATTGTTAATGGTTTCTGTGGGAAGGCTGCAGCGTACTGGTATACTTTGATGGTGGTAAATGTGATGTGATCAGTTCAACAGCTAAACTGGAAGATCTTAAATACATGAAAAAGAGCGTCAGCTGCTAAGTTTTCTGAAAATACGCCATTTCGTCTTGACCACATAAAAACACTATCGATGTCATTCCTCCTAAAGATGACTGCCATTAGTCCAATGCTCTTTTTTTGGGATGGACATCACTGCCAGTCAGGGATCCATTCCTGACGGTCTAGTGGATCCGTTTTGTTTTAAACTTTAAAATAGAAATTTCAACATGTATCAAAATATAGAATATACTATAAAATGTATGAGCTATTTTTGTGAAGAGGAAATATTTCCCAATGATTTGAACAGAGTAAATAAAGTTTTCCAACTCTGACTCGATTCTTGTGAATTCTAATGTAACAACTGCACAACATTGATATCCCGGTCTTTTATATTGTATAGATGTTTTAGTGTAATGGGAAGAGTCACAATCCAGTAGTTAATTGTCTGCATGATCTTCTAGATTCCTCTCTCATTACATGTGGATATTTCAGTGTTGGCCAATATTCATTTTCACATGACTGCAAACATGGTCTTTAACAGCTTTTATTCGAAGGTGGAGGAAACATTTCCAATCATTTGAGTGCAAATGAAAAGCCACATTTCATCCATAGACACATATTTACAGATGCACTGGCACTTTAGAGGCAAGGTTGAGAAAAGGAGGGTGGTGAGCACACACATCAGATAGGGCACACTCTGTTACATATACTCTACATGCTTTAAGGGGAATGTTATGATCCAAAGAATACAAACTCAATTTCCAGGTGAGGAAGTTGGAGCGTAGCTGCACCAAACTGATGAACCGTTTACTTTGGACTTTATTGTTTTCAGGTAATCAAAAAAAAAAAGGAAATGCTTCTCTAAGTGCATCTGATCTCCTATCAGTTGGCCATCAGTGGACCTGCCATCTGCAGCACACATCTGATGCCCCTCAACTGTCCGGAGTGGATTCCTCTACCATCCAGTTCCCAACGGGACTAATGAAATAGAACTACTTCTATAAAATGCATCAACCGGGCCGTCTCCACTGTACTTGTTGTTTCCAACAGTGGAAGCGTGGACAGTGGACAAGGTACGAAGGAAGGCCCACTGAGATGCACCGTGGTGTTTTACACACGTAATGCACCTCCATGACGCCTGGTCCCTGACTCTGTGCTGCTAACAAGCAGGCTACATCATTCTCTCCCCCTACAAACTCCGCTTTAGAATAACAAAACAAAAACGAAAAATACCCCAATGTGGGAATTCTCACTAAGCACAAGCCCCTTTTCAGTTTGTTAGATGTAACATTGAATTGCTGATGACAAGGATGGAAAGCATTGCATTCCATGGTGTGGTGGAAAGGGGGAGGCTTCTTTTTTCCACCTCATTAATACGCTATCTTGCATTTTCTCCCCAGTGGCATCAAGGACTTGTGGTCTCGAGGCAAAACAGACAATAAAAATAAAAAAACTAATATGCAAGAGTCCAAATTCAGTTCGTTTAGAGTCTATTGTAGAAAAAGGAAAAACTGATAAATTGAAGATCAGCAAAGCAAGTTCTTGGTTCTCAATTCTCCTCAGCAGTGTTCTCCTTTTTCTCATCCTCTTTCTTCTCAGTCACCTTTTGGACCTCTTTCTTATCGTCCGACGCCTTGTCTTTTACGGTGAGTTCCTCCAGCTTCTCTGCCACTTTGTTTGCGCTATCAGGGTCGCCTGCGGCAAAACAGTCAAAAGTAAAGCGGTGAACATTTGAGCACAATTTGCTTGGCAGGTACATTCGTCCTCAGTCTACTTTGCATCTGCACTCATTGTCTTAAGAACATTCTACACCTTCATACTGCCACTATAAGCAATTTAGGATTCAAGATTTGGCCATTTTACCTTTCGTTCATACAGGAACCAGAGGTTTGGAAGTATCTAAATTCTAAGAACACAGATTCTGCAACCATGCAGTGAAGGAACCCGTTTCAGTTCAGTTTATTTCATCATGTTAACCGCTTAAAAAACGCCAATCTTTTAGGCCTCTGCTCAGAATTTGCATACCCATTTTTTAAAAAGAATATCTCTGCAACCTTAAGGTCTATACAGTGGGATCACTAACCCAACTAGAGTAGGCTAACTAATAACAGATTTTATTTTAAAAAACAGAATAACTAACTTAATTGAACAGGCTTCTCACTTTTAAAATCCCCAGAAATATGATGTAGGGAACGTTGTGGTTTCACGTACCTGTTCCCTCTAGAGATTTTCTGACCTCCTCCTTGCACTCGTCAAACTTCCCCTTGAACTTCAGAGCATCTGTGACAGAGCAGAGTTAATGAACACACAAAGTAATGCTGTGTCATTGCAAACAAGCAGCCCCATTTTGCTGTTAGCCGTCCAAAGTTTGGATGCACAAACAAAACTGGCTTCTTCGGGGTGTTTGTCAAGTCAGTGGGATGCGCACTAAATCATCCCAAATAAACTGCTGGTTTGGGCCCTTTTCAAGTGTAACATTCAACTAAATAAAAGAATACTCACTTTCTGCATTTAAAAAGCGTATTGCCAAGAGTTCAGCTTTGGGGCTTTCATCAGCATAATCTGCTAGTGTGTTCCACACCCATGCTCGGTCACTGCCAGCATTGGGCTTCAGCTCCATGGTCGGTACAACTGGAATTCACAAGGGAAACAAAGGCACTTTGAGGGAAGCGATAAAAGCATTTAGAATATATGAGATCATCATCTTTAGTGGTTGCACAGGTTTTGGCTGGAAATTGTTGGGACTGTATTTGTGTCCCAACAGTGTCAGGAACATTTCAGTGGTTACCAAAAACTGTGCATGTCGACCTGTACTTGGGGAACGACTAATCATGCAGGCTTATTAAATTTAGATTTAGGTCAGCACATATTTGCTTTGACATGAAATTGCAAGTGGTTGAAATGCAAATTTCTGTTAGAATTATGTAATATTTTTTCCGCCCACAAATCGTAAAATAACCAAATGATATTTATCGAGTTGACTAACTGTGATGATTGGCACAGATCTTCAAGGTTCTGTCTCTCCTCATCAGGAGGCGGATTGTGCCTCTCTCTTTGTGTTTCAGCAGCTTGACATCACCGGTTCCTCTCTCCTTCCACTCTGGTGGGTCGTTCTCAGAGGCAAAACGGTACAGTTTAGCCCGCCTGAGGGAAAGACAAACATACAATGTAGAAAATATACAACATTACCGGACTTGACAAAATGGGTGAGAACAAAGAAGTCAAGAGTGTATCATAACAACTTACATTTTAAAGAGTTCCTCCTCGTCCTCTTCCAATGTTTTCACATCCTGCTCAGGAAGGGACACGATGGGCTCAAAGTGGGGATCATGATTAGATTCTTCGGCATTTTCTGCAGTAGTTTCATGGTCTTCCTGGTCCTAGAGGGAAATGCAATGAATGTTTTACATTGAATTAAAAAAAACTCCATCTATGACAGTCACTCAGAGTACGTCACAGCGATTGGGTCAGTGTGATTCTTTACACGTTCACTTGAGCAAAATGACTTGTGACAATCGACCGACGGGCCTGCATGCATGCTTCAATGGAGGGGTTTAAGAGCTCATTGGTTAAGTATAGCTTTTGTATGGGAACTGGCAGAGCCTTTAGTAAATCACTATTGCTGAGCTCAGCATCTTTGATTCAATTTGGCGTCACATTTCCTCGCGTTGATGTTAAAAGCCCACTGCAACACATGTGGTTCATACAACAAACGAAAAAAACGAAAAAGAACGGATGAAGTTAGATAGCGAACTATAAAAGTTATAAAAATGCGTTGCACAACGTGAGTAACCATGTAATGCAAGTTGCAAGAAACTGAGCGAGCGCGGGACTTTCCTTTGTCGGGGCGGCAGCATTATTTCAACACCGGGATGCTAAACTAGTTACTGGTTAGCTGGTAGCTAGTTAGCTACGATCTCTGAAGTCGTCGTGATGTTGGCTATAAAAAAGCCAGTGACATAAATGTTTAAAGCAACGACGTTATAAATGCATTTCATTTCGCCACAGGGCCGAATGATATGGTGGTTAAAATACAACGTTTGGTTGTCGCTTGTTACATTTTACTTGAATACTTTGAGTAAATAGTTGTTCAACTTTGTTTTTCCGAGACAACTCATTGTGTAGCTAGTTGATAGCTAACGATAAGTTAAGTCAACGGGGCCTTTCATCAGCTGGCTAGTCGAGAGCTAACGGTAATCGCGTAACTTCCCACACTACGGTGAGTTTAGTTATCCAATAACTGGGGTCATTTGATGGAAATCAGGGCGACCCGATTGTTCGACTGACCAATATAAACATGGTTACATGCTACTGCCCGGTAATACGCAGTCACTGGCTCCGGCTACAGAAGCTAACATTAGCCAACAAATGCTAGCCGCTGGCGTGCTTCGCAGACAAAGAAAAGCTGAAAACGTCGTCTTTGGCCAGCTGGCTACATGTTAAGATCGTTAAACACTCTAATCAAATGGTGAACGACTGCAACAGTTCCCCTGAACAGTCGTGTGCACATCGCCTCCACCGGCGGATAAGTTAGCTAACGATCGCTACAGGATGCTAATCCCAACATGCTGGCAGGTTGCACACTTCGGGGCGCTTTAGAGCTTGTCAACATTAACACCGAAAGAAATGCGCAGTGCGAGTAGAGCATCTAGAACGGGGCATTTCTAGTTGGCAGAATTTGCTTAAACTTTCGTCAATTCAAACGGCCTCAAAAACATTCCCATCAACGTCAGCTCGTATTGCGTCGCGAAATACATCATCCTGCGATTCATTTTCTTTACCAACTTTGACGCATTTCGACACGCGCAGCAGCGGCCCGTGCACACAAAATTCCGATTCAAACGCAAACATCGCGCTTTGGGTGACACAAAACGCGTGACCTCACCTTCGGGTCTGCCATATTAATTTAGATGTTTGTAGATTATGGAAGTGCTGAGATCGATTCAAATCCCAGACTGGCCGCCGCTTCCCCACTCAGCTGCTCTCACTTCCTGCTTCGACTTTTGCGCGCCGAATTTTCTACGCATGTGCGCGCACTCTTCGCGAGCGCTGGTCTATGCGCCTGCACCGCAGGTTATAGGTTCTATCATAAATGCATGCACGACGCAAAGACGATATTAATATATTACAATGTATTGTGCAACTGCCGAAATATTAGGATGATCAATGAATGGAGTGAAAAGGATCAGCATAATTAATTAACGCAACACAATACCACGATACCAGTGAAATATTGATATGCAACAAAGTACTCGGATGTTTCTGAGTTATTAACGGGCTAGTTCAGTTTTAATGGAAGGTGCACAGTTGTAATAAATAAATAAAAATATCGATTGGAGACAATAAAAAAAAAGTTAAAATAAGTTTAAACCAATATTGTTTGATGGGAAATAAAACTATTCTTTCAGCGCATTTAAATAATGTTGAATAATATACAATAATATCTACATAATTATATCGATAAATATATATATATATATATATATATATACAGTACATCGATCATTTCCCACCGGCGATGGGCCTTTTCAAATAGACTACTACCACTTTAAATGGGTTCAGAGTTCTCCGCTGCACGTGGTCGAATCAACATGGCAGCGCCCTGTGCGTCTCTGTGAGAGTGCAATTGAGCAAGTTGAGTATAAGAAGGTAGGTACATTAAAAAAAACATGTCTGCAATCGATTGGGAACACTGCTGATACTTGACAGGAATCCTTAATATGTTAGTTATCAAAATAGATAATGGCGAATGGTTTTCTCTAAACAAGAACACTGCTTAAACGTGCACGTTTGTTGCCACTTCTGCCACCTCTGCGTGCCAGTGACGAAAGCGCGACATAAAAGTCCTTAGAAGCAGTTGATGCATTCACTTAAAAGAGACTTGAAGTAGTGAACGTAATTACCTGTGCTATTTTTTTATAGGTACATTAAGATTGTACAGTTAACTGGGACCGTTGCTTAAACCAAGTTTCATGTTTAAGCACAATGTGCCCAGCTGTTGCAAAAACAAATGTTAAAAAGAGCAAATAAAAAAAATAATCGTGACGTTGACAATACTGTAAAAATTTTCCCCCGTATATTTATATTTATATTTATATTAGTCTACTCCTCTGATTTAGTGAGTGATGGCGGATGTTGGTGGCAGCCCAGTGGCTGATGCTCCACCTTTAAACGAGGAGAATCCCGAGGAGAATCCCGAGGACCTCCCTCAGGGCAACGACAAAGACGCAAAGGCTGACGACAATGCTGACGACAATGCTGACGACAAAGCCGATGACAAAGCTGACGGGGGCACCAAGGCGTCCTCTGACATGTACCGCTACATCAAAGCGGACCTCTTCACCTCAGAGATCTACAAAGTGGAGATCAGGAACCTACCAAAGTTCATCGGCTTCAACGATCTGAAGAAGTTCCTGGCCAAACACGGCGTCGACCCGCACAAAATCAAGCTGTTCGGCAAGCAGACTTTCGCTTTCGTCACCTTCAAGAACGAAGAGGAGCGCGACAAGGCCATGAAGCTGGTCCACGGCATGCAGTGGAAGGGCCAGGTGCTGAGCGTCCGGCATGCCAAACCCAAGGTGGACCCCATCCTGAGGAAGAGGAAGCAGGAGGAAGGAGACTTCTCGGGGGGACAGCCGCCCTCCAAGCGGGCCGAGGGGGAGCAGGGGGAGGAGGAGCCGCTCAGCGTCCAGATAGCCAACGTGGTGACTCCTCTGTGGAACGTGCCTTATGAGGAGCAGCTGAGGAGGAAGGAGCAGGAGGTGGTGGGCGTTCTGCAGCGGCTGGCCAAGTGAGCGACGTGTGGTACCATGTGTGTCTGCGGCACATCTGCTGCAGGGGTTGTACAGGATCAGCCTCATCATTTCAACAAAATGTTTCTCTGTTGGAGGGGGATACAATATTCGTGGAGGCCTCCCTTCAGCCGTAGTACCTTCTTACATCCTCATTATTGTAGCATTTAAAAAGCGTACTAAATAGTATTTAGAACATGACATTCAAACCCCTCCGTGGGCATTTTGCATGTCAAAGTATAAATCAATGCTACGCTGTTTCTTTTCCAGAGAGATCGGGAGCACCAACAAAGCCATGTTGCCGTGGCTGTTTGCGCAGAAAGGAAAGTACAACAGGATGTGTTGTTCTCTGACGGCTATCCGACCGTCTCCCACGCAGGTATGTCGGCTCCAACTCATTTCCCATTTCACTCTTACTCAAACTATTTTCAACACATAAAACCGTGTCTGTCCGGAGTCGACAGACAAAATGCAATGTTAGTCGCTTTGGATAAAAGCGTCAGCTAAATGACCTGTAATGTGAATGTAATGATACTTCACAGCACTTGGTTTTTACACCTTTTGTACTGCAGTAGTGTCCAACATCTCCCTCATCGTGTTGCATATTTCCCGCGGCAGACGGCGTACAGAAACAAGTGCGAGTTCCTCATTTCGGTGGGTGCCGACGGAGAGGACAAGACCATCGGTTTCCGCCTGGGGAAGTACAAAGGCGGCTCCTGTGCCGTGGTGGGGCCCGCCGAGACGCGCCACGTCTCGGCCGAGGCCAAGCGAGTGGTCGCCGCGTTTCAGAAGTTCATCAGGTAGCGTTACAAGGCCACGACGGTCCTCAGCAAGGAATGAACATGACAAACCAAACTACTCTCACGTGCATTAGTTTGTTGAAAGAAGTTCTCAGATGTTGGGTACTTTTTTTTGTGGTTTTGCACATAGGACGACGTCATACCCTGTGTACAGTCCCGAAACATACGAAGGACACTGGAAGCAGCTGACTGTGAGGACCACGAGGAGCGGACAAGCCATGGCCGTAGCCTTCTTCAACACGCAGGTAAGGGGGGGGGGGGGGGGGATAAGTGTGACCCCCACAGCTGATAACAGTCCCACAGTAATGTTTCTTTATTTGGTGTCCCTGAATGGTTTTAATCACTCACCTAGAAACTCCAAGAAGCGGAAGTGGGCGCATTGAAGAGCTCCATGAAGACGTACTTCACAGAAGGAGAGGGGAAAGACAGCGGAGTAACCTCTCTCTACTTTGTCAGAGAAGGTCAAAGGTAAGACCACGAGATCCTGATGGTCAGTGAGTCCACAGTGAAGCGCAGACTGTTAAAAATGTCTTAAGTGCTGCACCAAAAGAGTGTTGTTGGCTTCCCAGGACTTTTCCAAACCCAGAGGACCTGCCCTGTGAGCTGGTGGCTGGAGAGAGCAGCATTCATGAGGAACTCCTGGGTCTGAAGTTCAGAATATCTCCTCATTCCTTCTTCCAAGTAAGAGACTTTGAGTCCTTTTTCCCAGCGGCAGGTTTGTATCACTGCGGCGCGTGTCTTCGTGGTGCCTCTGTGAAACGTGTGTGTGTGACCTGGCAGGTGAATACAGGAGCTGCAGAGGTGCTGTACTCTGCTGTGGGGGAATGGGCCCAGCTGGACCAGGACAGCACAGTGCTGGACGTGTGCTGTGGGACGGGAACCATCGGCATCTCTCTGGCCAAGGTGACTCAGTCGTCTGTAACGGAAACTTAGTTCACGACTTTAGTTTGTTGTTTTCATTTTTTTTTTTAAATGCTGTAAAGCTCAATACCACTACTGCGATGCATTCAAGTGCCAAGGCAGACCGCTGTGCATTGAAACGGGCGGTTCTGTCAGTGGAAACTGTGGTTCTGGCATGTTTTCGACAACTCTGTTCACTTTTGTCTCTAGAGGGTAAAGAAGGTGATTGGAATCGAAATGTGCCATGAAGCCGTGGAGGACGCCAAAGTTAATGCGAAGGTCAACGGTAAGCGATGGCATCAAATTACTTTCGGCGGTTTTGTGAAGGAAGTTTGACTATGACGGATTCTAGTTCTCACAAGCTTCTCATTCTTTTGCGTCCGAAGGTCTGACGAATGTAGAGTTTCACTGCGGAAAAGCCGAGGACCTGTTCCCCAACATCGTCAACGCCGTCGTGTCCGCCAACGTCACGGCCATTGTGGATCCGCCGAGGGCGGGCCTACGTGAGTCGACGGCCCGAACCGCCAAGCATGAACGAGACTCGCCTCAAAATAAGTCCCGTGTTCAATTTAGTTTCTTTTCCTAAAATAGATTCCAAGGTCATACTTGCCATCAGGAGGGCGGAGCACCTGAAGAGGCTGGTTTACGTAGCGTGCAATGCTAAGGCGGCCATGAACAACTTCATAGAGTGAGTCTGTGGGTTTTTAAGAGGCAGAAACAATAGTTTGTGGTTTTTATTAAGACCGGTTAACACTAATGCCTGAATTAATTTCCACATTCATATCACATATATTTTTGAGAAGTATCCCATTCTCTGAAATGTTGAGTTTTTTTTTCCTTTTTACCAGTCTGTGCAGAGCGCCATCCAACAGAGTGCACGGAGCGCCATTTCGTCCGGTGCGAGCCATGGCCGTGGATCTGTTCCCTCAGACCATGCACGTGGAGATGATGCTGCTGCTGGAGAGAGTGGACTACGACTCCCAGCAGCAGGCCAGCCAGCAATGAGGAAGAGACATTCTGTGCACGCCCATACCAGCACAATCCATAAGGTTTAACATGGCAGAAAAATATCACAACGTTCTATTGCATCAGGTTGTAATTTAGTCAATCATCCTACCGTCGCATGTAATTTGTCATACTATTGTCCGTGGGGCTTGCTGACTGCAAAATGCGACCGGATGCAGCAGGACATCGCTGGTATATTTGGCACGCTGATCGTGTGGGAGTTCCAGATTCGAATTTAACCGGAAATGATTTGAAATTTGTTTTTGTTAAAATAATCTGCAAAGCCTTATATAGTCTTTATTGTTAAAGGGACAGTTCATTTAAGTAACAATGTACCGCTTACCTTGTCATTTTATAATGCAATGTTAATTCATGCTTCCAATAAAGTTGCAATAAGTACGGTATTGTTTGCTCTGTATTTGGGCCAGTTGTGCTTTCTTAGGGTTCCTTTGAGCCGCTCAAAAAGCTGTTCAGGTCTTGATAATGTTAAGAGGGTGCAGAAGTAGGTACTAGGGAATAAATAGCCAAACCTCAGTTTGTTAAATTCTCTTCTCATGGCTGGCTTTCTGGGACAGAATAAAACCAAATCCTTTCTAATCATGAGGACGTTTTATTTGCATAACAAATATCGTGGAGCTCAGGTTGCAATACATACTTCATTTTCTAGGCAGCAACTTCTCAAACAATTCATTGGTACAACTCAACAGAAAGATGTAAAAAGGTTTTTTTTTCTCCTCACACGGACACAAACACAAGGGAAAGCACATTCTTATAGCGATCTACAATATCACAACAGCCGCCATGAACAGTTTGTAGAAAAAAACAAAAACTAAATTGGCTAAACACTTGTTGCACAGCAGTTTCCATTTTGTTCCAGCAAGTATTGGGTCTAATCAGTTTCTACTGTGCAGTTTGTAGTAACATTAATCCTATAAAATGCATAAGACTGTATGTAAGCTTTGGTACACACTTTCATCAGCTTCTGTTGCACTAAATGACTTAATTGCATTTTGTTCGAGTGTACCAAGTCCATTTGAAAAAAGGCTGCCTTTTGTTAAAAAAAAAAAAAAAAAAGCATTCTACCTGGAGTCAGAAAATACTGTGACAACGATGGAAAACAAACTAATTACACAATCCATTAAGACGAGTCTTAATCTGCACAGGCTGGAGGCATTTGTCCTTCAAGTATCTGATGTTTTAGAGGCGGTCTTCAGTAAAGTTCTAATTTGCTAAACGATAAATGCTTTATCTGGTAAAGGGGGCTTGGTCTCTCCACCTCGCGTTGAAGGGTGTTAGGTCCAGCGTATTCTACTTCGAGCCCTTCATGAAATGGATCAACTAAGGCAACATGATTTCTTAAGTGCACCACAACTAAGTAAGCTACTGAAATGTACTGGATGGTTACGTCTGTGGGCGTGGCATTAGTACTTCAATAAACAGCTGACATAAACTAAGAGCAAAAAGGAAGCGGAACACATTACGGTGCTCTGGTTCACTGCGATGTTCCTGGTACTGCCAAAGCAAATGAGGGAGAGAAATAAAAAAAAAGCAAGTGCCTTTATATGCAAGTCACCTCAAATACTCAAGACGCAGTTTTTGTTTTGTACAAACAGCATGAGCAGTCATTGAAAACATGACAGGACAAGTGCATAACAATAGATCTCAAGAGTCATCACCTCACTACGTAGGTTTTTTTAAATCGTGCAAACCAGGACAGCAGCGCTTCCTTCTGAGGAAAAGAAAACGGCGTATTTTTGTATTCGTTACCCAAAACACCAACTATTAAAATACCCAATAAACAAGTAACTTTGTTTTCCAATAAAATGAATGGTATAAATACACAAGTACTAGTAGTCCCTTTCAAATACTCAAGCACAAAAGAAAAAAGGTGCTGGTACTCTGACACTGCCAAACTAAACAAAAAGGTGTGTAGTGGTTTTTCGGTCAAACGAGCATGCATTTTTATTTTGATGTAGTTCATGTATTATCAGGTCATGTTACCTTCTCTGCAGCCCGGGAGATTAGTCCCCCGCCCCCGGTGTGCCATAGCCAAGCTGCATCCTGAGAGGTGGACGGTACTTGCTTTGTTGGTGCATTGAGAGCCTCCATTTACCAGCCGAACCAAATCAAACACGGGCCAGAGATGCGAGTAGTCGAAGGGACCTGGTCCAAGTGGAACTACGCTGTCGTTCGATGTCAGTGATGCATAATTAAGGGATGGATGGTCGGCTGCGATGTCTTGACAGTGACCTGGTTTCAGTGCCGAGGTTCTTCAGTGAGTTTGAGACTTAAACGTCAACAGTGCAGAGGGGTTCGCTCCCTGGCTGGGCGGACTCCATTATGGTCATCTTGGGTTTCTTCCTCGTTTCCTCCTGGAGTGCACATTGGGAAAGTTGGTAAAAGTTAACGCAATCCTTTCCCAATTTTAAAGTAAACAATTCTTGGCAGTGGCAACGTCATTCTGACCACACTACCCCGACAGTTGTGCTCGTAACGCCTGCAGTAAAGAGGACTAATTGGGACCCTGCAGATTTACTGTTTACTCCAAACTACGGCCCTGTGTTTCGCTTCAACGAGCTCTCTGGTGACAAAATGTCTGTACAAGTAAACTCCTTTGCTTTGAGGGGAACAAGAGGGAAAACAGTACAAATTTAAACGAGAGGGAGATTTCCTGCAGTAGACGAATAAAGGCCCAGGAGGCATTTTGACACGTCACCGTGGGAAAAGCACCAGTGTAAATAATTTAATTGATGGTGGCGAATTTCTGGGTGGAAATAAAATGATATGATTTCCGTTCTCATTTCTCGCTACAGGAACCTTTCTTACCCTCTGCTTGGCTAGTTTCCTCATTTCCTCCTGCAGTTTGTTCAAGATATGAAGGTTTGGCTTGTTCTTTTTGGCATACTGCTGGAGCTCGATCACACTCTTGTCAGAGCTCTCCTGCAAAAGATTGGTTGTATTAAAAGTCATTGAGATGTGCCATCCTCAATACAGAGATCCCACCATTCATATCTCAAGTTAACAAGGTCATGTGTTAATATGCCAAATGCGGATTTAACTAATGAAAAAAAAAAAAAAAAAGAACAATACATTCCATTTCTATGACTTCAACAATCTGGACGATTTTCAAGTTTTTAGAATTGTGTGCATAGTTCCATTAGTGCATTTCCCCAGTCTTCAACACTGCAACTTAAAAAGCTGCAAGTAACAACTGTGAGAGGGTTTCATGCTTCAAGGCAATGCAATTGCTGTTACGGGTTGGAATGTTGGCCTCGACGTGCGATTACAAGCGGCGCTATGTGAGCTGAGAAACCAATCCAATCCAATCCTCATATGCAAAGCTCGTATCCAGTTAAGATACTTAAAAATATTTACTGCAAATAGAAATCCAGCTCGAACAGAAAGAACGAGAAAATTGTTTTCCGTGACAACCGCGTTTGTTTTTAAAGAGAGTACTTACCTTCTTGACCATCTTATTGCTGTCTCTGCCGTACATGCGCAGCAGTGAGCCCCAGTTCTTCACATGGGGGTGAAGCATCTGCAGGATCTTCTGAGACGCCAGTTGTTTGCCAACCCTTTTGTTCTTGCCTGGTTGGCACATGCACAAAGGAAACGTCAGCAAAAGCTACACGCATGGTCGCTCCACAGGGTCAAAACCAAAACGGACGCGCCTCTTCAGATGAACTCATGTCGTGGCGTTGGTGCATGAGGAAGAGAATCTACTCACACCAGCCACGCACGGTGTGCTTCCCACAGGTCATCACATATTCACTCTTCTGGTTTTTCCCCGGAATCACCTCAAACTTAATGCTCGTGTCTCCCATTCCATGGTTTCTAAATGAAAAAGACACAACCACACATTTGAATTACATCATTTCGCCGGCAGGTCTGTCACAATGGTGACATTAAAAAAGGATTACGCTTACCGTTTAAGGCACTCATGAAGAATCTGATATGGTGAAAGTAGTCCTGCTTTGTTGGTCAGCTCATACACCCTTGAGTCTTCTATATTGATATGATTAAAATACTGTGGAGAAGAGAGAACAGGGTCACTAAGGATGCATCAACAGTTGACAATACTTGGAGGGGGGGCGAGGGGGGGTCAGGCGTTTACCTCCAGTTCATCGCCCTCAACAGGCTTCTCCTCAGAGGTCTGCTTCACAAAGTCAGGGATGAGGATTTCCAGTGTGGCTCGAGCTGAAGTTTACCATAAATTACCAGTGAGAACAAACGTTACAATGTGTGGATTAAACAATAAAACCATCTATTGCATCCAATAAGAATACAGCCTATATTGTAGCCTTGGTCTCAGAAGGTGCCCCGAGGTCTGTTGGGAACAGGTCATTTTTAATGTATGCTGCGTTGTGAAATACATAATCACAAAGCTCTGTACTGTAAATCAAAGAGCTTACCAGCTTTATTCTTGGCAAGTTTTTTACTGCTTGCGGTTCCGGTGCCGTACGTAACTCCGTCAATAATGACCGACGCTCCAAAAGGCTCACTTGGGTTCTCTGTGAGACACACAAATCCAGTTGGATTTCTCAGAACCTTTTTGGTTTTGTAGTGCAAATTCACCCATTATGTATAAGGAGCGAACAGATATTTACAGTGGATTTACAAATGATGAAGAAATACCGGTTCAAGGATGAACCGGTATCTTCACATTGGACGTTAAATAGTCAATTCCAAAAGAGAACAAACTTACCACATTCAAAAAAGTTGTAAACAGGTCGAACCTTCAGGACACGTTGCATATATTCATGCAAGATGCAGACTTCAGACTTCCCATTAGGGTTGATGACAAATTCTGTTACAATAGAAAAGGTGAAATAGATCAGCAATACTTTTTAACGATGGTTATTTTTGACTGATTCCCACACATTTTGCCAAAGATCTGAAGTTAACAATTAGCAGGTAGGTTTATGTTTTCAACAACTCTGAATCGATGCAGCCGCTACCTTTCTTAGTGGGGGCATCTTGGACTGACAGTGTGATGAGTTTCTGGTTGGCGGGCAGGATGGGTCTCTCCGATTCGGCCTGCTTCCTCTTCATGTCTCTGTTGAACTGCCTTCGCTCAGCCCAGGTGCGGAACTTCTTCACCGTGACTTGTTCAAAGTCAAAGCATTTTTCCAGGTAAAGGCGAAACTCTTCAAGTTCTGTAAGGAGGAGTTATGTCACTCAGTGGATCATTGACGACATCCAGCAACAAAAGCACAATGTTTACCTTTCAGAGGTCGGCCCCTCCGAGAAGCACTTACCTATCGACTCGTCCTTGCACACCTCCACCTTGGCCTTGACTTGCCCCAAGGCGCCGTGGGCAATTTCACAGAGGTGGGCATCTTTAAGCTTCTGGTTCCTTTTGGCTGTGGCGGCGGCAGCGGCGTCCTCATCCTCGTCCTCCTCTACATTTGGCGTAACATCGGCCACAATGGGAGGAGGGAAGCCGTCTAGTTCCTCACCCGTAGCGTCCGACTTGTCCGCCAGCTCGTCCCCGTTTGCTTCGTAGCTGGGCTTGACGGGAGTCTCCGCTGCGTTGGGAACCTCCTCGGACATGGCCGTCACCTCTCCGTTCAGCTCCCTTTCCTCATTGTCCTTCATTTTCCTGTAGTGGAGGCAGGGGATGCTGCTGGTAGGAGGGTCGTGTTTCTGTTTGGAGAAAGAAATCCAAGGTTCGTACAGTCATTTCAAGAGCTGAGCGGGAAAACTGAACATTTTCATGGCCTTAAAATTTGAAGAAAAAAAAAAAAAAAGACAGGAACTGAGAGGAGCTCATGTGATACTGAGCAGGACCACAAACTGGTGGCGGAGCAGAATGTTTATGTAAGGTGGGATTAAATGAATTAGACATCTTACCCGAATGCTGCCAGTCCCAAGGAAGTAGGGTCGAGACCAAGTCACGACCCTGGTCTCTCTGTGCAGGTAGACAGGAATACCCGAGTTATGGAATGTCATGATCCATCCGTCAGGTAGAGGCTCGGTGGGTGGACGCCCACGACCTGGCATGGGGGGTGGGAGAGGGGGGATGTAAATGCAGCAAATAGTTACTACAAAATCCCCTTTTGAGGAAACTTTTCTAATAATGATGATACTTCGAGGCATAATTGTGTGACAAAACGTCAGGAGATTTTAATTTGGAATTCATGTTAAGAACTATTTTAATCCAACGTTGGGTTTATGGTTTGAATTTTCGGTACGGAGTCAAGTCAAACAAATGATTTTAATCCGGGATGAAACCAGTGTTAATATTAACAATATTAAATTGCATCTCTTAGTGCTAAAACCACGTTTCACAATTCCCAGCTCGAATACACAATTGGATCCACCACTCACTCTTCAAGACAGTCTTAATTTTGGTCATCATGGGCTGAACGCCTCCCTCCTCCCCATCTGACGGATGGTCGCTGTCCCCGCCGTATTTGTCCTCGGATGGACGCATCTTTTTGGGGACTGGCATGCCCTCCTCGAGCAGAGCATCAACATCATTGTCAAACTCCTCCTGGAAGAGTGGATGGTTAAGGCCGGGAGAAAAGGATGGGTCACCAGTGTAAGAGCTTAGTCGGATGTGACGCCAGAAGATGAACCATTGGAGAAAATAAAAACAGGCAGTACGACCGAACTGAAGAAAAACCTCATCATTGGCACTTTGGGGCTTAACAGTTGAGGACTGAATTTAGAAACGGATTATATTGAACCTACATATAAAACCTTTATTAGAAATGAAATTACAAATGGGAGCAGCTTTAATCTATCCTTTTTATTACAATTTCATCAGAAAAAACAGCATTTAATGTGAGACTTAAAAAATGGCACTAACCTCTTTCAGCACCTCACTTGAAATTTTCAGTAATACAAAGCAAAGAACACAAATCAACATTTCTATAAAGGTCCCCTGCTTGATTTGATCCAGAGTACTTCACTAACGCCTCCTGGGGCAGGAAAGGTCGTGTTGCAATATTAAACCAAGAAACTCAACATTCATTATTCCCTGTTCCAGCTGCCCACTATAGTAGAGATAGTGGCTCCGAACAATCCCAGCACCAGTAAAGAAATGCCACCAACTATTCTTATTCTAGGCCTCCTTGTTTTTGTTTTCTCCATATCAGGTATGCCATCTCATCAGTATCATTAACACAATGAAACAGAATAATGCTTTTCTCTTGTTTGGACTGTTACGGGCCGTAGTAGTAGGCTGGCATCATTCCTATTGGACAGTCAGGGACAAAATGGGCGTGTTCCTGAAACTGAAAAAGGTTACTGCGGACACAAGAACGGACTCACCTCATAGGAGAAAGCCACGGCCTCCTCGTCTGCTTGCTCCTGCTGAACTATGACCTCAGACTTAAAGCCACCCAGCTCTGCGTCGTCATTATCCAGGAAGTTGTCGTAGAGGTCATCCAACTCATCCAGGACAGCAAATTCTACCTTATTCTCCAGGTCTACCTCTGCCTCTTCGGCTCTTCTGCCCGCTATGTCGTTTCCCTCGGGTGCCTCCAGCTCGCTAGCGGAGTCATGCAACTCACCATTCACGCTCTCTAAGCCATCGCCACTTCCTCCCTCCTGCCCCTCGCCCGTGTACAAAACCTTCCGGTCTTTGCTATTGCTGCTATCAGTGAAGCTTACACGGATCTTAACATCTCTGAGCAGCTTGAGGTCTGGTAGGAACCCGGCGAGTTGGGGAGCGTGGCGGGCCGTCCTGGGGCACGGCGGGATGGGATTAGCCTCATCCGAGAGGTCGCTATGGAAGGTTATAGAGGGCTGCTGTGGGTGGGCTTCCCCGTCCCCTGGGGTGTATGTGTATCCATCACCACCAGAGCTAACGTCCATTACCTCTGCGTCACTGGACGTTTGCAGGGGAGGTGGTGGAGGTGCTATGCCCTCATCACGGCCAAAATCAACAGGTGGCTCCAAGGGGAGAGGGGGTAGCACATCATCTACTTCCATTTCCTCTGTATAGCGAACTATAATTTATACAAACTGATAACTTATTCTAGATTCAGACCTGTTTGGAGACTCTGCCTATCTGAAGCCAGAATGCATGCAGAAGCACATCCCTTAATAGACCACGTACCAGAGGTGAAAATGCTAAGCTGACTACATTGTTCTTTTCATTAATGTAGACAGCTTTCAGAATCACTGTCTCAATTATTGGAAATCACAATGCATTCAGCTTAATATGGGATCTAGGCACTGATCATCCTCCAATGGTGTCTTCTGGAAGCTAGAAAAAAAAAATACCAGAGATGTCAGCTTTAGGAATAACGTCATCAGCGTAATTAGCGCTGTATAATATTAAGCATAGTCTACTAACGGGTGTTACTACAGTGGAGCTTGAATAATACAATAATAACGTGGAATGGTGGTTAGATATTTGGCTGATATTTACATAAATATATGACGTTAGATAATCTTCAAATGACAAGCAAATTAACCTCAAAATAAAAAGGTGAGGGACCTCGTTCTAGCGCATCTGCAACGGCACATTGGGCCCCTGGTAACGTTAACGTCTAACGTTATGCTAATGTTAGCAAGCGATCATAAGGCTGTACCGTTACAGACATGGACGGCTGCAAAAACCGGCGAGCAATTCTGACAGCGGCTTTAATGCATAAATACTCACCGATAAATATGACACAAAGGTATTCGTGCACCAAGCTACCTTTCTAAAGTATTACACACTCAACGCGGCGCCACACTGACTCAACTGCCACACCGCCATCTTGAAGAAAAACACAGCGGCAAACCAACTCAAGTCCCGCCTCCCGGTACCGGCCTTTTTATGAATGATCGATAAGCCGGCCAATCACAACGGCCTTCATCGACATGTTCTTGTGTCATTCAGCCAGAGCCGTAAAAAGTAAGAGTCGCGTAAGCGGAAGTTCATACCGCTCGACTTCCGAGATTGCTGTAGACTTTCTCTGTGAAGGGGATTGTGAATACATCTTGGTTTTTCTTTTGTGTTGTCACCGTCAGTGTTTGTGGTTATATAGTAATGTTTTAATAAACCAATAAGGTACAAGAGGCTGTACTTTATTGTCAGTAATGTTACAGTTCCAGGGTGTTGTTAGGTCCAGTGCATAGCGTAGCAATATTAACTGTTTTGGGGCAGACTACATAAGCATTATGTGCATTGCAATATCTAACCATGCCAGTTGGGGTCACTGTTTACCAACAGTTGTAGACCAGTGTGCTAGCTATTGAGGTTAAAACCTTTTATTTAAAAAACAATAATTGAATAGTGGGCATGTTGTGTTCGTTGATTTTCATCAATTTATATTAAGTTAATCAACATTGATTGACTTTTCATAGAAATGAAAAATATATTATAACAGCATTGCTGTGGACCAGTCCCATGGCTAAACGAGGGCTCAAAATGTGACAGTAGATCGTAACAAAAGTCAAGTCATATAAACTATAATTACTGTTTTGGTGGGAATATTCCTCTTCAAATCACTTGGTCCAGGAAGAATGGAGTGATACTGTCACTACTGGTTATGTTTCTCTGTCACTTAGTAAGTGAATATTTTCCCCTTTGAATCAGCATCCTAACATCACTATGAGCAACGTGTAAATAAATGGCAGAAAGAAAGCATGTACGATACAAACGGTAGGAGTAAGAACCAGTGATCTTATTTGATATAAATAAAAAGCAGTAAATTGGGTGTTAAATCACAAAAGGGCTCCTTACAGGGTAATCGTTTCAACAATTAACAAATAGAAGACCAAGGGGGAGTGCTTTGTACATTTTTTATCAAACAGCTGTAAAATTTTATTTATTTAGTTATTTTTTCTCACCCGGGAAGTGATCAGCGATCCATTGCCTTTTAACGGTTTGCATTGAACTATGGGAAAATGTGTTGCAACCAACACTGACGCCATTCTTGTGCAGTGTTGGGGCAGAACAAATTACCTGCATGATGGTACTCCAACATTTAAAAAGCAGCGATTAATCTATAATTCTTAGTCGATTTAAATTATATCATACGTTCTCTGAATATACTGATATAGTTTCGTATATTGTAAAAATGAAAAAAAATTCAAATTGTAGTCCTGAAACTATTTAATAATAAATAATCTTGTGCACGACTGCAGTGATTACATATCAAAGCAGGTCACCAGCAGTCTGCTATGCATTAGTCTTTAGAAGCCACCCAATCCTGCGGTTTCGTTAAAATATTTTCATTTACAACATTTTAACTGTTCTTTGGCAATCTTAAATTAGCAAACATTTTCATAAGATGCATTTCAGATCAAAAGTAAGAAACACATATCACTGATGTCAATGAGGCAGCAAGTATCAACTAGCTCAAGAAAAGTGCATACGGATCTTCATCTTCACATGATTGCTACGGTGCAGCTTGAGGAGGAAGGTGGTGGCCGGCGGAAGCAAAGGTGGCGTAAAAAGGCACCGAGTGGGTTTCCTCCATCATGTCTTCACACCTGCAGTTCGAACTGGAAAGAACTGGTGCTCCACTTTCCCGGGTCCCCGTCGAGCATGGTGCGCTCTGTGAAGGTCACATTACCTTCTGCGTCTATCAGGATGATTGTGTTGGTCCTGAATGGGACAGGGGCACGGGGACATAAGCAAACAAACAAAAGACATTTAAAAAATGAGAAGAAAACCCCCAGAGAAAGACGCGCAAAGGGCAGGAGTAACACTGTGGACCACTACGAGGAATAAACAGTCACAACACCGGTGTACAAAGTTAGCCGGCGGTAGAAGGCAGAGACCCTCCGACCTTCTGGCCACAGGACAGCTCTCGACATCCCAGTGCAAGCAATCCCCCCCCACCCCCCCTTCTTTACACTGGGGATTTATGTGGACCCGTGTTCTCTCAGGTGAAGACAAGCAGGGGAGAGAGCAGAGAGATTTAGCCGGAGAGGACGACACTGACCTTGTGCCATAATGAGGGCTGCGAACAAACACCGCCGACTGAGCCTGGAGCTGCGGCTTGCTGTAAGCGTTACCTTGGCTCTCCTGAATGGGATCAGGTGTGTTCCTGTTAAACAAACCCACAATACACCTCCTTGAGAAGCCTTACAGATTAAGCATCCATGCAGTTTCACGGCGGCAATCAAACGTCTTTATTGATCTGCTTTTTTTTTGTCTGTATAGAACATGTTGGTTTGAAAACGTTGTCCACACTCACAGCTCTTCTGAAAATATCTCTGGCAAAATCAGGTCATGCAGTTCAGTCACGAAAACCTTTTAAACACTTTCTCCCTCATCACAACAGCTAAAAGACAGTTTGGGAGTTGAGGTAATAAATGTTAAGCATCTTAAATATGACCTTATCTTTTTTGACAAAAGCTACAATTAGATATTTGAAACTCAAACAACTTTTGTAGCACTTGAAAATGACTTTACTACTATTACAACTTCCTGGTGTCTTGGTTGGTTTCCTGAAAATCTCATGGTGATAAAACCTCAGCTTTTCCCACAATATTGTCATTCAGGATCACTATGAAGATGTTCTCATGTAACTTTTAGCCAGAGCGTCCAATTAAAATGTTTCCCTCCGTCTGTACACGATGAATGAATCATTCTACGCCACATCACCTTGCTTGCTAATATTTTGCAACGTTCACTATAAAACATCATCAGCCAAAGCCTTTATATCGATAGAAAGCCGATGTATGCCTACAGGATGGTATCCAGACTAAAATAAAAGAAACCTTCCATGGTGTGTGACGCGACAGCGAGGGAACATCCAGGTAGGGGGTCACCACTCACAGCTCTTCGTTATTGAGGACGTTGAGCAGCTCTTGCACCAGGCCATCGCAGGACAGGGACTGGTCGCTGACCACGCGGCTGAAGTGACTCTTGCCTTGCAGCACTTTACGCCACGGAGAGTCCAGCAGCGAGTTACTCAAGCCATAGATTCCTGCTGGAGATGTACAATAATTAGCTTTGGAGACCTTGAGGCAGAAACCGAATGAACAGAGATGAATAGGCCATAGGGCGAGGGGAACAGTTTCTACAGCAACCAGAGTAAAAACACAGACCTGGTTTCAGATGGATGGGTTCGGGTCTGCCTCTGTTTCCATAGTAACACATAAAGTCTTGTTTGGCTCTACATGGGACACAGTAAGATGGAAAATCACAGATTGCATTTGGTGATGAATAAAGTTTCCATGTGTAATTATGAGGGCTGTGTCAGAGTAACCAGGCTTCTCTGCTCTTTAAATAACACAATTATAGAAAATGTATCTACTTTGGAGTATGTGTTACAAAATAGATACTCCACATACATGCATACTATCTTATTGATATATTTATGTAATCAAGTTGTACGATGGAGATATAATTACCATTGATATAATGATATTATTCTATTAGGGATTGTGAACGTGTCTGATTCTCCACTAAATAGAACCTGGTTATTAAAAAACAAGGCACGCAGCTGATGGAAACCAAGCACAGAGCAAATCTGATGAAGCATCATGCGAAATGCGTGGTTTGCTCCATCCTTTTAATGTAATCACTTCATGAAATAGTGCCTTTCATGGTGCATGAGGAACACTGGAACTTTAACTCTTTTTTTTGTTAACAGTGACAATGATGTACTCTCAAGGGAAGCCTGTAAACAGAGTGCTCAGGGTGAAAGAGATATAAACAGAGCACCTCCAATTGTTTATAGTCCAGGAATAAAAAGGAATTTTGGAGACGGATTAATTTGTAGAGGCAATAAAAATGGGGAAATACCTAATGGCATAGAAAATCGTAAATTCATCCTGGAAGGAACAACTGGTTAATATGAGTGCTGCAAGAATACAAATCAGTGCTACAAACAACTATGAGTACCACAAAACCATTTAGTTATGGTGTTAGATCTCTTAGCAAAGTCCTCAGAGGGAAACCTTTTCAGTCTGGAAAATCTGTCTGGCGCAAATCAGTGTGGCGAAACACCACTTCAACATCGGACATAAAAAGTTTCCCCAGTCGAGAGGAAAAGAATTTGCAGCTCGGGTCGTAGCTCTGCCGCAAACTTTTTAAAAACGCAGATCGGCCTTGGGTGTCTACTGTAGGTCAACACGGGAAGAACATTTTTACCTGTAAACCCATTAGCGAGGACTTTGCGATACACATGCCTGCGTTTAACATGTAGGCAGTGACTGTACAAATTAAAAGAAGATACATCATCTGACTGGTCAGTGCATTATAATTCATTCCTCAAAAAGCTGCCATGGAATGAAGAATGCACGTGAGAAAACGACACACACACACAGACACACACACACACACACACACACACACAGACACACACACACCAAATGATAAGAGCTAAAGATGCTCGTCTACAAACAGTTACCCCGAGCAGAGGTTGTCCTCTGGTGTTTGCACAGGCACCATTTTGTCTTGTGTAAACTTCATGGAGCAGAAAGTCTTATAAAAAAAAAAGGGCCAAACAGTGTGTGTCCAGGCAGCTCAGAGAGAATCCCCCAAGCTGTCGGTTGACATTATATTGTTTCGGAGTTTTACCCGGTCTAAATAAACAACGGCTTTTCCTGTGTTTCTATGGTTACAACACTGACCACGGTTGACTCGGGTGACGAGTAGTTAGTAGTTTGGTTGCTGCCCAGTAGGAAGCAGGTGGCCTTGTAACCTGAAGGAAAACGGAAGAATCTGTTTTAACTCATTTCCATTTTTGCAGACAAAAAAAATAAAAATGTCTGCAATGCTAGTTTGACCCTGGTGAAATCGGAGGATATGCAGGGCGATGACTCCATTTCTGCTCTGTGCTCCTGGCTAGAATAGAGAAACATCAGGTGTGCTGTGGGTTGATTTGGACTGAGATGAGGGAACAGCAGGAGGTCAAGGCCACTGGGCAGAGAGAACGAGCAGGGTGGGGTGGGGGGAGGGGGGCTCTTTCAGATCTTGGTAAGAGAGGTAATCAGTATGCTGGCTGGGAGACGATCTAATGAAGAGTCCTCTATGCCAACGCTTCGGAGCAGTGTCCCCATCGCCAGCTGTGGCGGAGTTGCCTGGAGATGCTTGGACGAGCTTTTCGACTTCGTCGGTTCAGAATGTAGATGGGCCTGTTGGTGGGGGCTCTCGGGCAACGGCAGCATGTGCTCCCACAGCAGAACGCGCACACCTGCATCTGTTTGTGTGCACCCACCGGCGCTCAGGGATTAAAAGCCATGGAAATGGCGTTTGGTGCATTGTGAGTGACATGTCTCAAAAGCTGTTTGATGGATTAACGTCAAATCCATGTTGCCCAGAAGATGGATGCCTCAAGATTCTGAGACTTCTCCACAATAAAATGATAATATGTAGTTAAAGTAATCAAACATGATTTTGTTCTGAATACTTTTTAAGTAATTTAGTAGTGGTCTGAAAAACAAATCTGCATAGTGTTTTTTCTTTAAAACGTTGCTGATACTTGCTGTTGCTGTGCAGATCTGAGGTGCCATTCATTTCAAAAAAAGTTTCTAGCCAGGAATCATTAGAGATATGGAATAAAATGAATAATATCTGGATGTTGACTTCAAAGTGAGAGTGACGTGAAATGGAAACAAATTCAGAAGTAATGAAGTAAGTCAGAATCAATGTTGGATATGCTGCCCGGAGAGCTTCTTCAAGCAGAGAAGATCCTAATACTAAATTTGAATGTATATGGTATCAGCTTCCATCAAGGTACAGTTGGGGCCAAATCAAATAGTCTGCACATCTCAACCCCACAATGTTATAGATTATTATCACGGCTTTACTGGTTTAAAGAGCATCACAATTTTTTTTTAAAAAGAGGAGAAATGCATAATTCATGGCCAGGCTGAAAGATGTAAATGCCTGTCTGGATTGTGTATTAAGAGAACACCCTTTTTCCACCGTGCATTTCAATGAGTGTGATCACACAAAAGACAAAAGCGGAGTGAACACAGACCATGCTTTAAAAAAAAAAGTATATATATATATATATTTATATTAAAAATGTTGGGCACATCGTGTCCCCCACGACCACACCATCATAAATCATGAGCTGGATCCAGATGAACAAAAAATACCCATAATTGTAATATAGTGCCGCTCTCCATCCACCAGATGTTGTTATCGATTTGGAAAGAAACCAGATGCCTTGTTTTCCTCAGAGCTGCTGTGCACACGACGGTGGAAAACAAGCAGGCCGGTAATGAGGGTGTTTAAAGAAGATGCGAGTGTCATCTCTGTCTGCAGTGAAAGCAGCTCCCATCGGGCAGGGAGTTTGAGGACAGAAACGTAGCCGGTATACACCTACGGCACCAGGTGATTGATCCAGTCCTCGGGGGCCGACCTTCAAAAGGGACAGTTGAATATCTCGATGGCATCATCTCATCGAACGAACCACAGCTAAGCGGTCTATTTTCTGTTCATTTTCTCTGTTTTATCAGACTTTTAAAATAGTCCACATGTAACAGCTGCACGGTTCTCATCTTGCAACAAGTCAGTAGACAGAAGAGAGAGAGAGACAACATTAGCTCATCCATTTACTTACTAGTGAAAACTGATTCAATCTATCACTTCTGTTCTGTCAGTTGGAAATTCAAGGACCAATTGTTTCAATATATTGCATCACATTGGAGGTTGGCAGCAACGACTAGCTGACATCATAGTTCTGCCCAACTTAAATCAAAAACTAACACAAATGTAGAAGAAAGGCAGAACAAACAAAGGAAGATCCACCTTGAGAGCAGATGCTCCTTGAGGCCATGCTACCAGGATACACGGATCATGAGACCAAACCCCTCTGTGGAAACCTTGATTTATTTTCTTTTTTTTTTCTCCCTCACCAGGGACACAGCTGGATAGGGCAATGTGTTGGAACTGAACCATCAACCACTTGCTGGCAGACACTGAGACCCGTTTCCATGCTGATTGCCTACAGGGGCCTTCACCATGACAACTATCTTGGTGTGCACTAATCTTTGTTTTTCTCCCCTCTGCCAGAACACAACATCCAGGCAAGTGAGGCCGGTGACACAAAGGAAAAGAGAAAAGAGAATTCTAGATTTTCTTCACTTGAAACCCTGGAATATGAAAACATTTTCCTTTAGAAATTCAAGGAAAGGTTTCTTTTCAGTTATACCTGCACACAAGAAATGAGAAGCAGCCTTTGTGGTTTATGCCAAGGTTAAGTCACAAGTGAGTGACAACCCAAATATCTCAGTTAGATTTCATCGCTGATACTCTGGAATAAATTTGAACTTGAACCAAATGAATTGAAATTAATTAAGTTGTGAGTATGGCCGATTTCTTGAGACCATCGTGTGGTTTTGCAAACACATCTCCGCCCTAAAGAGTCTCGGGATTTCACTCACTTGAACTCCGCCGTGAGGAGGTTGAAGCCATTGTACAGGTGGCTTTCTGCAGACACCTTCTTGAGGTACGAGTAGCTGTCCAGATCCTTCTCCATAAGGTAGTTAGGAACTAGAAATCCTACAGATCAAAAGACATTCGTCAAAAACTTGTAGCACAGCCTCCAAACAGTAGCCAAAACTGCAATGACACGAGGTCGCGGATACAGAGTTCCCCTCCCGTGTGGCTCAGCCTTAGAGAGCTTGGGACATCCGGGTGGTTGCATGGTTGGCTCACCTCTCCCTTGTGCATCGGGGTTGAGACCCCCTTCCATGTAGTTGGTGATTGCAGCCAGCTTGCCCCGCTTGCTGATGCCCAGCCATGATCCTCCTTCCTTTCCACATTCAAGGTCCAGGCCTGAAACACAGAGTAGAGTTTATTAACCACAGCTGCAGTATCCATCACACTTCATCTGGATGTAAAACGAATGCACACATTCAGTATCAATAAGCAATTAGAAGTATAAGTAACTCAAGGAATAACTATCATCGATCAATTCTCACATTCAATACCCTGAGCATCCTTTAAGTTTTTTTTTGCCAATTTTATACAGTGGTTCAGCCTGGTGTTCAACACAAGCAACTCGCTCTCAAGAAGTACATCACTGGAAACCAACAATATAGAAATCGAGACGGTGTTCCATCTATAGTGCTTGGTTAACCAATTAATTAATAGCGCATAAAAATGAAATAAGAATTAATAAAAAACAATTGAATGCAACGGTTGTCTTGCAACAATTGGGAACGTTAATGCAAAGCCAGAACCCTCAAACATTGCAGCAAAAGGTCTTTTCAGCATAAAACTGAACTTGACCCGGCCTGAGTGCAGGTGCCCCTTATGAAACACTCTTAATGTGAAGAAAAGGAAGTAAGTCCTTTAATTGGACCACCATCACGTGTGGCCATGGCAGTAATTAAATAAACTCAGTCCATCAATAAATCTGTTGTTCCTCTTCTTCTTCAAAACGACATGGACCAGGCGGACGGCGCGCACGCACGGCACTTCCTGTTGATCAATGAAGACAGGTCCACTTACCCCGACAGCGGCCGAGGGAGCCAAATGGCCTCGCTCCTGTGGGAGGAAATGGAAGGCTCGCCTGACCCCACAGGGAGCTGTAGCTCACTTCCCTTCTCGTCATGCTATGTCTCCTTCAGGGCCCCTCCCCCCGAGCCCCCGCAGCCCCCGAGCCCCGCGGATGAGGCAGAGACATTTATTCCTGTCATGCCGCATAAAGGCAGCCATCGATTAGGAGCCCGCTACTGGAGCCCTGACCCCTCGTGGGAGAAGGGGCGGTGGGGGTTAAGAGAGACTGATGAACGACGAGGCGATCACTGCATTTCCTGCTTCCAAAAAAACCCAACCAGATGATTGATTTCCTCTGCTGAGCTATAACATGTATAGAATATCAGTCAATTAAAAATGGTTTTGTTTGGGTGAGGATATCCCGGGACGGGGGGGAGGGGAGGGATCGGATTCTGGGGTGGAGCAGACAAACCTTTCCTCGATTGTTGAAAGCCTTTCAACTTTAAATAAATCTATAGTCAAACAGCCAATATCTGCTGCATGTTCAAAGAGTGGCGGTGCCAAGAGACACATGTTCAACCGCTCTGGATTTACGACAAAGATTTTGTGGTTGTTTAAATGCGTTATCCATGGCCTGATTTATGTTTTTTTTATTGTTTTGTTGCAACCTTCTCCCAGAAAGAGCCTTCCAACCGTAGCGACTGACCTGGTGACGTGAAGGCCAGATAAAAGACTCAGCCTGCACTTCAGAACCCAACTAACCTCGAAATAGACCAGCGAAGGAAGTGAACTTACCGCTGAGGATCTCCGTGTTGCTCCCCCAGAAGTCTGCAGCTTTGGACGGCCGGCTGTAGAACTCATCTCGGTTTGCAGCCAAAATCAGCCTGGGGAACAGGGAGCGAGAGGGATTTATCTGTTTTTGTCGTTCATTTGGTGAGTCTGGTTCTTTCGAGGTGGTTTTATTGTCAACCGTTAAACTCATAGTTAACTTGCAAAACAGTATGAAGAAAAGTAATATTTGTTCAGTGTCATGCTTTGGTGTTTGGTGGAGTCCTGCGCCCTTGGCCCAGGGTTAAGAGAAGTCAGAGGAAGTTATTATTACATGGGACATAATGTATGACGCTGAACACAATGCTGAACACGGTAATGTCCTTAGCATTTTTAAACCTGGTTATACTTAACTCATCTGAAGCTTGCTTGCAATGAGTTATAAATGAGAGAGGGGGGAACTTACCATTAGAAACCAAATAAAAGCGTTTTAGGGGAAATGCATATGAAAGCATTGCGTCTGGAACACATTTTCATAGCAAGCCAATTCTTTAGATGAAATAGTAGAATCAGAAGTGTCTGCACAACAAGGAGTCAACGCTTCATCTGACATGACAGATCTAACTAAACTATCTCATCTCGCCAAGCTGCTTGTCCGGGTGTTTCTATCGGTTTTTACTGCCGAAACGAGGCTACAAAACGTTTACTGCTGCCATCCCGACCGAACAGCTCGAGCGCTGTCAGACAGACAGCGGCTGCACCTCGACGTGCGTTATTAAATCAGGGCGTCGGTGTGTGTACCGGTGCCGTCGCTTCCACTGACATTAACATCTACATTTATCATTTAGCTGACGCTTTTATCCAGAGCGTCTTACAATAGCAACAAGAATCAAGAAAGTAAAAAGCCGAACTAAAAAGTGCTATAAGTGAGTGTCATCGTAACCATGGGATACGCGCCACATCAGGAGTTTTGTCTGATGGGACGGCAGTAATTTGTTTCTACATGCCGTTACTAGCCGGTCACTATCAGGTTTCTGTAAACACAAAATAGCAGTTTAGCAGAGACTCAGCATGCAAATCAAACATATGCGCAGCTTTGTCAATGATACCAATTGTTGTACATATGTGTGTGTGTGTATATATAATTTGAGTTGAGAGAAAGGAACAAAAAAGCCAATGAAATGTATTGACCTCTGTATTAGCTGTATGTTCTTTCTGAGATGACAATGCCCCCCCCCCGCCCTCTTAATCTTATTCGGGGACTCAGATCTTGTTAAGAGCAAACAGATAAATCAAATTGGCCTAATCGGGGTCAACCTTGGTGCCTGTTCCCATGGCACCGGTGTGAGCCGCAAAACAAGGCTCACACTAACGATGCTACACCGGAGAGAGCATCTGCTATCCGATCCTGCAGGGTGAGGAGGGGGTGAGGAGGGGGGATGGAGCGAGCCACTCTGATCACAGTCAGCCAGCTGCATCGTGTTGGAGGGAGGCAGAGAGGCATCAACGCTCTTCACGAATACCGAACTCGGACCCTCAGTCCATTCAGTGAACACGGGGCTTCGTAGGCTTTGCAGCCGACCCATTAGGTTCATGTGGAATGATGTACTTTAGGATATTCGTGGTTCCTACACGACCATGTGGGTTTTTTTAAGACCTTGTACGTTGATGGTGCATGAAAGTCATGTTAAATCTCCACATTAAAAATCTCAACATTCTACCTGCTATTTTTGGAAATTATTCGCAAGATACGTCATGTCTCCAGAAGAAGATTATGTGACTTTTCCTCGAGAGCAATCATAGTGTAGATGTGTGAAAACTACAGTCTGCTGGGGGAAGGTTAGAGGGTCCAATCCTCGTCAGGATGCGCCAGTGCAAAACCACACGTCAAGCTCCTTTGCAGTAGAGGAAAGGAAAAGTCTTCCTCTGGGGACAAAATGTCCATACAAAAAAAAAAAAAAAAGACAGCAAGTTATCGAACACCTGTCCAGTCTGGACCAAAGTGGTGGAATGACTCGTTAGTTAAAGTTCTACTGACGAGCTGCCACAATATACAATGAGCATAATCATGTTGCCACAAGCGTTCCTCTGAAGGCAGCTTTGGGGTCAAAATGTCAACTCCCTTACAGCACACATCATTAATTTAATTGGCAGAATTTGCCATCAGTAAAATCATACTCTTACTCTTGTTTTTTTATTCTGCCACTTCTAAAAGAGAGTTAAAAAATGATAAGCTTAAATCATATTACAAAGTTGATTGCAGTACTGCCTGATAAATAATGATAATAAAAACAGCACAGTCTGGATATGGACTTTTGAAATATCTCAGCATTTGGGTAATCACGGAGTCATTCAAGCTGAACATGAATCCATTTAACCATCGCCAAGTATTTTCCCAACCATTGACCGTTTCACAATGTAGCTGAGATCTTGCATTTAACCCAATCGCGCCCAAGTATTCTGAACATTCTTTTTGATGAGCACATTGCTGCAACAAAAGACGACGACCGCTGCAACTAGTAGTCTAAATATGGCACTGATGTCACCACATTAGGACACAGCACGTTTCACCTTTCCCCAGGTGGGGGAGGCCTGACTCAGCACTCATACCACACGCCTCGGCAGTGATCTCCTGACTCTGACCCCCCCAGAGGGAAGGACACAGATGGACTATGGTCAGGCAGAGGGTTCACTCTTGAACGAGCAAGATTATGATGTGCTGGATTGGACATCAGCCCCTAAATAACCTTGACTGCAAATAGTGCCTCCCTTTGAAAGAAGTTGGCAGTGCACAATTTGAGAGCGGTTTGTGTCCTCCAGTAAGAAAACTCAGTCAAAATTGACATTTCTATAAAACAGATAATACAACAGAAAAGAAAATGTATCTTTCCTTAACTTTTTTTGTCACTATATGGTTTGTGTGAGCAACTGTCAAAGCTCCGAGTGGCAAAGTAGACAAAAATTGCAGCATAGCAAGAGTATGACGGCAGTGATGTCAAGGCTTGACACCTGAAAAGGTTTTTTATCATATATCCTTTTTAAAATAAATGTATTTATACATTCAGTTGCTGCCCGGGTTCTAACACTTTCCCGAAGCCATATGAGAAAAGCAGAGCAAAACATTGCAAACCCAGCGCTTTTTTATAGATTTCTTTATAGTTGCATAAAAATAAAAAAAATCCAGCAAATATCCAGCAGTTTTTATACACACACTTCTCAAAAAAACCTTTTAAAACAGACAATTGTTTATCAATTAGTCCGTACTTCGGGTTCTTACGATGTTTGATCCTAAACTTGCTATATCCCCACTGGCTGCCGGACGCTTAAGATTTATGAAACTGGACATGAAAGACACATTTATCAGCTGCTCTGCAAGACAAACCTCTTTTGCCCATGAACCTCTCATTAGGATACGCGAGGGGTTTGCAACTTAGCTGCTTGGATTAACTGCTCACCTGTAGGCATTTTTGGATGCGGGCCGGGGGTCAAACTTGAAGAAGATTATACACATGGATGGATGTGGCGTTGACCAAGTTTCAGTCAATCCTCGCCTGCCTTCAGATCGGAGTCATGTCTGACAAAGAGAAAAATGACACAAACCAAAGTGCTTAGCGGTGTTGTAATAGAATTGGATGTGTGCTGAGAATAGAAATGAGACAACAGTTGGGAAACAAAACAGGGTTAGGGTGTGTTCCAGTTATTTCGGCAATAACACACAAACCTTGGGGAATATATCCGGATGACAAAGAACTTGCAAATGTTCATGTCCAGATATTTGTCCATGACAAAAAATACCTTATACTACCGTATTTTTACTATGGATTAATTGAATACTTACACAGTGTACCTAGCTGTAGAACAACAAATGGAGCATCCAGAGTGCATGCTGTGTGTCCTCCTGTACACATGACAAATGTTCAGAACAACAAGTGGCAGCCATTGTGTAACAAAGGGATCGCTCTTTGTTCATCTTATAAATGAACTGCAGAGACAGCAAAGGATCCAATCAACACATAGTCCCGTCCAATGCTCCACAATGACGATACTACCGAGCTAATTCAGGTAATTAACGTTGTCTCCGTGAAACTATTTGACGTTCGAGCAACACTCGTTAACCTAAGCAATAACTAGCTAACGTTAGCATCTAGGCAGCCAATTACGTAAAGATAAACCGAGTAAACTTTAGCGACCGCTATCCGCCTGACCTCAGTTATGTACATACGACTGCGAATAATTACGTTAACTTCTAAGCTAATTGTTTACCTGCTGTGTTCAACAAAGTTTACTGTTGTGTGGTGTCGGCGAGGTATCGTTTAAACTAAAAGGAAGTGTACATCCAGAGTCCTCTCGATTTTTCTCTCGGGTTGTCTCATTAGTCTCTCTAGCGGTGGGGGGGTGGGGGGTGAGTATTTAGTCTTTATGCGTTGGTTTGAGTCCCGCCCACCTTGACGCTGCGAGTGTGTAAAACGAGTGCTCTTCCAACAAGGCTCTGAAGTACGCTACGATTGGTCAGTTTACAAGATATAAACAAACCACAAGCTAACAGTAAACCGTAGCAGCTACATTTCCGGCTATTTCAAAATAAAACCACATTATTAACATTGTTCAAAATATTAGGCTTTTCTTGTTGAAACCAGAGCTCAGATGGACGGCCTAAAAAGTCTATCCACGAGCTTGAAATGTAAAACCTTAATACCTGTTATTTATGATTTCTGATTTATTCTGCACAAAAACTACATTTTACAGTACAGGATTTACTCTGGAATGTTCATGTAGTTGAAAACGTATACTTCGAAAAGCTTTTCAGTTGTCTTTGTACTTTTGCTGACTTGCCAATGTCACAGAATCATTAAACATAACAATGGGAGCACCGAATCTATAGAAATAGAAGTGGGAACCGATGAGAAAATGAGACAAACTCGAACTGATTCGTATGAGTGACCAGCTGATATTTTGTAGCATTGAAACAAACGATTAAACAAAAAATGATTTTTCTTACGAATCAAGTATAGTATTGCATGTTTACCAAATGAGAACATTTAAGTAATAACACGAGTAAAGGATTTAATAGTCCTTCAGACCAGTCATCAAAAAGTAAATCACAAATCTCTGCTGGGCAAATGGGGATGGGGCGGAGACACCTTGTGACCGACGGCATCCAGCTCTGTTGTGGATGAGAGGGATCGAGGCTGCCTCTCACAACAGCGCACCGTCGCATTTACTCATTAGTGACAATCGACGACATAACGTTACAAGAAGTAACTTTTGAATCAGTTCGGATAGGCCGATCTTCTGTTATTGGTGGCTGGGGGGGGGACGTTCCGGGCAGCAGCCTGCCAGCTGATATCAGGTTGTGAACGGACTCCCTGCAAGCGGGCACGTTGCACGCAGAACAGCGTTATTCCGCCGCGGCTCGGACTACTGCACAACCCCGCTGGATGACGCGGATTAACTGAAGAAACGGAGGTAGGTAGTAAATAGATACAGCTATTTACTTTTTTTTGGTTCCTCGCTAATTCGCGCGGATGACGGTCGTGCAAAGCTTTAGTTTCCCCCTCTGCCGTTAAATCCAAATGTGTAAAAAACAAGGCATATCGACCAGGACCCGGTGTGTTGGAACAGATGTATTTGTTTAAATAGTCGGTGTTTTTTTTAACGTGACACGGTGGGGTAAATACCTTTCTAGCGTATTACATCAAACGCATTAATTAAGGAGTAAAAACACAATGCTCCATGTATTGTTGGAAGCTCTTATCACCAATGAATGCAGGCGAAGGCAGCGAGCTCCGACGAGCTGTCAATCATCTCATCCTTGGCTGGTCCATTGTTTTGCCTCTCCTGTTTGTCGGTGGGTTACCATGGAGAGACTTCCGGTTGTCTCCTCTAAATCACCGTATTTGGAGAAGGGGCGTGGCGTCAGTGGCTGAGCTGATGGTGTTGTTCGGTTAATGCTTCTGTATTCACGTCCCATGTGAGTATCCAGCATGACTGAACGCTTCAAAACAACAACCTGAGCTGAAATGGAAGCTGTCAGTAGGCTTTTATGTTGGTTCGGCCTGGTCAGCTTTTTCACACCGAGCTGGCAGCAAACAGGCCTCAGCATGTGGTCGGATGCAATAGAAGCAATTTACTGAGCGCATTTGCAATTAGCTTTTCGGGAATTTGAATGTGCAACATAGAAAACCCTTGCGATACTGGAGTCCCGCCCTGCTGTGAGAAGCTTCTGAAATCAGGTTTAATGTAGCAAGGATATTATGGCAAATGTAAGCTACGTAACGTGGAGAAGTCCTGCAGCTAAGCAATCATTTATCATTTACATGACCAATTTTTCTGGGAGACTTAAAGTAGAAAATTTCGTAAACTTAATGAAATCGTTGGTCTAAATATTAGTGTTTACGCTGTTCCCTGCATACAGCAGCTGTGGACCCCAATTACTATAAAGCTCTTTGTATTGAAGATGGTGAATCCATTTTCATATTGGTACTCTGCCAATCTTTGAGGTACAAGGTGTGTTAGTAGGTGGTGTAACTGTTTGTGTGTCTGGATGGTGTGGTGTGGGGGTGTACTGAGGTATGCAACTAAAAGTGAAGCGAAACCAGAAAAGCATTTGGAGGTGCTGGGAAGAGACAGATTCCAATTACTATGGACCTCTGAGCATTGAGGCCAGCCATTCAAAATGTCCTGATACATATTCACTCATACATGTATGCATGTATGTGTGCATGTGTGTGTGTGTGTGTGTGTGTGTGTGTGTGTGAGCACTAGCTGTGTTTCACAAAGGGAAACCATTGCTGCAAAAGCCTATTTTGGATCAGTTGTATCTCAAAGATGTCTTCTTAAGGTGTTGGCGGATCACATGTGGACCTGAGAATTTAGGTTGTTCAGGCTCTTCAGATAATGTCAGACTGAATGAGAATCAAAGTGAAACAGGTGGAGCTCACTGCCCCGGATGGCCAATTTACACCAAATGTCTGTAGAATGCTGATATCCTTTTTTACGCTTGTTGCTACACTTGAGTGTCAGCATGGATCAGTACATTCAAAATTCACTTAAATACTGGTACCTGCACCCAACACTATAGTGGGAATATGGTGTTGGATCCTTTTCCTCCTGAAATAATTCAGCATTTACATACCATAGGCCTTACGGTGTAAATAGGTCAATAACAGTAATATTCAAGGCATCCTCACATGCTTCTATATCGGCACATCGCCACGCTCACAGAATACATTTCAGGCTCATTGGCAACCAGGAAGTGGCTTATTTGGAACACGACATATTTGCAACTCAAACAGAGAGCAGTCTCTGGACAGAGTGAATTTCCACACCACCTGTTACTGGGCTGGAAACTGAAAAATGCTGCGTTACTGGGGAAAAAACTCAAAGACTTTCCCTGAATGCTAATTTGAAAAAAATCCTATTTAATTTGTTTGTGTCTGCAGTTAACACTTGTATGCCCACAAAACATAATGGCATTGTCTTCTCCTGGATTTCCTTTCTTCAGTTTATCCAGAACTAAAATTCTCAACTATAATCACCAGTTAACGAGCCAATTAACGGCCGACCAAACATTGCTGCATATTGTGGCACGCACACAACGGTTGTTGCTGCTGAATTTAAAAGATAATTGTTTTTTTTACCCAGTGTATCTAAATCCAGATGTGGCCTGTCTCTCTGTGTCTATGCGACTAATTCTTGTGTCATCATTTGATTACGTTAAAGGTTGCGATTCCATTTATCTAATGGACTTGACAACACTGAGGTCAGCTTTAATCTCAAGAGCACGTTATGCTCGGATAAACTAATTTATTAGGAAGTACGACGCCTGAAGAAGAATTTGGATAAAAACAGAGAAGCCGGTTAGTGTCAGATCCGGCTTTTATCTCAGGTCCGTAGGGATAGACTTACCGCGGCACAAAATGAATGTGATTTCCTGCTCTTTCATTGCATCTATCCATCCATTTGACATGTTTTCATAGTGTGAAGCTTATACGTTCATGCAATAAGTGGAATCCCAGGCCAATAGTCGCGTTTTAGTGCTCCTGCAGAAGATAAACTAATAGTCAAAGAGAAAGCTTATGGCTGGAATGCAACTAAACAAGCTATTTAAACGTACCTCTTTCAGAAATGTGTCAGTAAGAAATGAGAATAATGCAGAGCTTCCCTGCTGACAGATGGAGGTGTCACGCGCCGCCATAGCTGTTTTTGGTTTTGTGTAAGGGCCTCATGGTACCGTGAAAAAGAAGGTAGTGTGTCTGTTTCACAAAGGGGCACCGACACACCTGAGCTCTTACATCTGTGTGAAATACAACCGCTGTATGTGAAGCAAGTTGGCAAGAAAATCCTCGCAGCATGAATATATCTCAGTCCTCATTGTACCTGAAAATGGGGAGCAGTAAACGGTACACGAAATGCTTTTGCAAGACACTGTAATAACAGGTGCAATGCATTGCAACAGACATTGGTATATTAAGGACTAAACGTGAGATTTAGTCTATTCTCCATGATATAGTGATCCTATCCTTTGTTTACATTAAGTATTAATCCAGTAGAATATTTTAATTAAAAGAGGAAAAAAAGTGAATCATTTCTTTCCTCTCTTTACGTCTCGTCTCTATGATGTTGATTAACTATGATCAAACATGGTCAATATGTGTAACTGTGAAATATCCTATCCCCAACTCGTCATTCTTTCTTGTACTCTTCTTCTTTCAGCTAGCCGGTTATTTGAACTGTATCACAACAGGAACGTTCTCACGCCTCCAATTGTCAAGAGCCTTATTAACTGCAGTTGTATATTCTGAATTTTGTTTTTAATTGGATGGAAAACCTTTGTCAATAAATCAATGTTTTTAAAGCCTTAATCATATCAAAGTGAAGTTCATGCATATAAAGTGAATCAATTGTGGGGCAACCGTTGCTTATATTATTGATTAACAGCTGTCCCTTTTATTGTTGTGACATAACAAAATGCACGGCTGTTTTCTTGGAAGTCTTAATAAAATGTCACTATTGAGAAAGTGTGGATGGATGGCTTAGTGGAGGAAAAGGGAATTTTTATGCGACACATTCTCTTTTGGGTTAAACACGCGTGTGCACCCTAACAGGGAGCTGTCAGTCATGTACAGTCGTTTCTCGGCCCCACACAGAGTGAGCTGGGTAAGCTCTTGGTCTTGACCGTGTGCCTTCCAGTACGAACAATAGAGAAGAAATGACCTATTGAAATTGCCCTTTCCTGTTCATACATAAACATACTACCGCTTTCGCTCTACACGGAGAGCCGGTCTTATATTATTAATCATATTAGCGTTATACCTACCTCATTATTATTTCCTTCTCAGTGTGGCATTTCATTACTTGGTGTGGATGGGAATTATTAAGCAGCAGTAGTATTTCAAAGAAATGGTACAGATGAAATGATATGCCTAATGCATTAAAGCGGAAATTGTGTTCGAAATGTATGCAGTTTTCTTTGACTGAGTGGTAATTATCAGCAATGCTATCATAGTGCACATGAATTATTCAAGTGACACTGACGGTCTTATTCCTGTGCATTTATGGAGGCCGCACCATTTGGGATCCGGAGCGCCTCCGCTGTGTCGTATCATGCAGGAGCTGCGTCTTGTGAGGTGAATGAAGCGGCCCGATAGCAAGTAGCCAGGGGAGAGCCGCCCCCCCCCCCCGTCACACAGTGAATGGTCCTTTGTGGGACTGACACCTGCAGAGCTCTGGCTGCTGCTCCTGAAGTGATTAACATGCACCTCCAACCTCGCGGGCCTTCCCACTCGCCCACCCCCTCGGACATGGGTCATCCTGCAAAGAGCCTATAACTTGTGGCTTTGTCTGGGCCGGGCTAATTCTGCATGACTCCAGCGCTGTTTGAATTGTATCGATTGCTACCGTCAAGGGGGCAAAATTTGGAGGTTTTGAAAAGTTAATGGAGTTATTCATACTTTATAGATAGTTTAAAAATGAGAATGGCTCTATACTGTGTCTAGCTACATGGTGCAAAATGACTAATATAGAGTGCAGTTCAGTTCCATGGCAGTCGTCTTGTGGCAGACATGGTCTGCTGTTAATGTGTGCTTGTTGCATTCTGCAGTATAACCTGGATTATTGATTCACAGTCAGTATGTTTTCCTTAAAAGTGTTTTTTTTCCTACGCGTGTACCGTGTTTATTTCTGCTTTTAAACTCAAATATTATTTTGCCCAGGGAATGAGTTATCGTGCAGATTCATTGAATACTGATATCAAAGTGCAACCAGGGTTTGAGGTGCGATTTCTGCCTACATGTATTTTCCTCCAGTTGCAGTATAGTTACATCCAATGTAATCATAACCAATGAAAAGTGAATGGCCACCTCCTCAGCCTGTATAACACAACCCCCGATGTTATTTATTCTCACCATGTCATTGATTTGATATTGTGATGGCATTAAGAATCCTCAAAATGTCACAATTGTCGG